TCAATCTTTTTTTAAACTACTTAAATTTTGCAGCCCTTGCAAAGATACGTAATTGGGTCTCATTTAATGGGCCAGACTTTTAATTGAAATCGTATAACTAAATATATTGAAATCCCATAACTTAAGTGAGGAGGGGAAGATTTTCTTCAAATTCTGATAATTCTGATTCAGCTGACATGATAAGGACGATTTTGAAAAATTTGCAGTCGTGGACGTCGTCGATTTTGTGACGAAGGGGTCGGAGACGAGGAATCAGCGAATGGTGGGGGGACAAGGGATGCGGAGTAGTGGGAGGAGGAGAAGATAAGCGGGTTATCAGAGGATAAGAGGGATATAGATTGGATATTTTTAATGGAAAACACTTGTAAATCACTACGTAGTTAGTTAATTAATTAGATAATTAAATTGACCCTAGAAAAATTAGAACATAAATGCGACGGTAAATGAAGTTCCTATACATATTCCGATACATATCTGTCACAATAAGTGATAAGTCCTTTCCTTATCATGTTTTTCTGGCAGATTGAAAAAAAACGAAATAAAAAAACGTAATGTTTTTGTGTTTACGAAAAATTGTAGATAATTAATGCGTAACGAAAGTGAATTTATGATGGGAGAAAACGAAGAAGGAAATAAAATTAATGTGCAAATAAATAAATAAATGACTTGAATAAAGAATTGTAAAGTTGTACGAAAATAAAATGGATTCGAGAGAAAATTGATTGATTGATGAGGGAGAAATTGAGATTTTAAGAAATTGAGATTTTTGAGAAATAGAGATTTTAAGAAATTGAGATTTTAAGAAATTGAGATTTTTGAGAAGTTGAGATTTTTGAGAAATAGAGATTTGGAGAAATTGAGATTTTTCCAGTTTTGTAAAGTATCGACTCCGAAGAGCTAAAGTAAATGGAAAATAATTAATTTAACACTGCGAAACATGTGACGTAGCAAAGAAACAAGTTTGAATTTTAGTAAACAAACAACCGTTAAATTAATTCTAAATTAAAATTTCTAATCGAAGCGAACTTAAACTTTTCTAATCGAAAAATAAATTCATCTTTTTTAAAACCTCAAAGATCAACCATTTCCGATCAGAGTTATAGTTTTTGAGGTGTGAGGAGGATAAATTCCGATAAGTTCTTGATTTATTTATTCAACTTTTTAATTAATTTGATAAGAACTTAACACTTAATTACACGGAGGTGTAGTGGTTTACGAAGAAAGGTTGTTGACTTTATAATTTATCTAATATATCATAAGATAAGAACTTGTTTTGTTGCAAATTTAAAGTGTATTCCGAAGAACTTCCGAGTTGGACGTTCCCACTTCTGAGGAAGGTAAAGGTTATCAATGATAACTTATCATCGCAATGTCGAACAGCAAAGAAAACCTGGCCGTGACCTTGACCTCTAAGAACAGTTGGAAACGAATCCCCCTTCCCGAACTGGACGACCAAGAACATTTCACGGGCTACGTGACGGAGACCTTGGCACCGAATTCGTAGCCGCGCTGTAGCTCTGCCAACTGACTTTCAGTAGTAGGCAGAGTAAAATACAACCATGGGATGCCTAAACCATGGTAAGGGGGAAAGTGGTGGTGGTTAAGCTACAGCACCGCATTTGACCCAACACCTCACGGCAGGATTTTCGTCGTATGCTCGCAATGCTAATTCATTTTCATAAAAGTGATAATGGGGGGTGAACGGTACCACCTACAGGTTTGCCTGTGATATAACTTTTGAAAGCTGAATAGCTTGCCTACAATATTATGTGGTCACATTTTGTAATTTTGCCTTTGTTCAATTACTATTTTAGTTTAAATATCAGTAAAATTTTTATGTGAGTTTGTATTTTAGATAATTTAATAGAGGCAAAATTGCAAAATGTGACCACTTAACATTGTAGGCAAACTATTCAGCTTTCAAAAGTTGTAGTAGAAGCAAAGCTGTAGGTGGTACCGTTCACCCCCCATTATCGCTTTTATAGCAAAATTATTGATCAAATCCAAAATATACGGTACTAAATCCTGCGCGAGTGCACCCATTCAAACCTTTGGCCGGATTTCGTTTTCCACCAGTTCCACCACCAAAATTGTTTTTAGTTATTTTTGCCACGACAACCAAAATTATTTTGCACGATTTTTCGCCATTCGATCACCTTTTCTACTTGGAACGACGACTTTTAGCCAGTTCATGACCATCACCACTATATCGTCCTACCACGTTAGAGGACGATTTTCGCCACCCCAAGAGATGACACAAGGGCCCGTTCATATGTTACGTAAAAATTTTATGGAGGGAGGCACGCTGCGGTGGTATTATGGGGCACTTTCCAACAATTCCCCAGACCTCGTTCTGCATATATTTTTGCATATTCTTCCGCCCTGAGGGCTGGAAGGACCGTCAGTGAAATTTCGTTGGGCCACACCCCCTGGGGCGAAATGGTCCCCCGGCTGACCTTTGACATTAAAATTGTCTTAGGTTGTAGGTCTATATGTGTGTAGCTTACCCTCCAAATTTGAAAGCATTTGGTCAACCACAACGCCGGGCGCAGTATGGCGACACTTGAAAAACCCCCTTTTTGGCCCTTTTCAACCCCTTATAACTTCGCTACGTGGGATATGTGGGAAATATACAAAAATATGTGGGATAGTATCCATATGTATAAGTAGTTGGTGGCACATATTTTTGATCGTGTCGACACAGAATTGTCGATGTGGTTAGTTACGCCAAAATTCAAAAGCTAATAACTTCGAATGGGGCAAGAATAGAACTAAGATTTTGCAGGGGATGAATCTCGAGAATGCGTGTCATGTTATCCCCAAAACCGCTAACGAGGGAACCTTTTATAGTGCCCGGAGCTCCCAGCATATCCACTATGTACACTAGACGCAGTTTTTAATACTAGTCCTATGATGTGATAAAATCTCCGTGTCAAAATGACATTTGGTCAAGTGGTGACGATTTTAGTGACGCGCGGGACGGTCATTTTCGCCATGCTATTAGTAGCGGAGGTACCCGTTCACGTCTTCACTACACGTCCCCGTTTATCTCACTGAAATCTCAACTCATTTATTCACCGATGAGACTGGCATCCAATTTAACTATGTATATTTACAATATGTATGATTATAATTTATTTACTATTTACAAGTTTTCAATATTGTTTTTTCCTTTCAAATATCTGTGTTGGAGTTTAAAAACTAAGCGGAAAATACATCAACTTCTTATGAATTCAAACAAGTAGAGGGATTTGTTCCTCAAAAAATGCGCGTGAACATTTTGTAACTTTTAAATTCGAACAGAAAAAAATATTGATGAGTAGTAAATTGTAATTATATTTTAAATATAGCTAAATTAAGTACCAGTGCGCTCAGTGAGTAAATGAGTTAAGAATTCAGTAGCAAGATGAGGAGCGTGTGGCGAAAACTAGCTGCGCTATTGAAATCATGGGAGAAAGTGACCGTTCGTCGCGTCACTAAAATCGTCACCGCTTGACCAAATGTCATTTTGACACGGAGATTTTGTCACATCATAGGACTAGTATTAAAAACTGCGTCTAATGTATATAGTGGATATGCTGCGAGCTCCGGGCACTATAAGAGGTTCCCTCGTAAGCTCTATCCACGTAGCGAAGTTATAAGGCGTTGACAAGGGCCGAAAAGGGGGTTTTTCAGATGTCGCCATACTGCGCCCGGCGTTGTGGTTGACCAAATGCTTTCAAATTTGGAGGGTAAGCTACACACACATAGACCTACAACCTAAGCCAATTTTAATGTCAAAGGTCAACCAGGGGACCATTTCGCCCCCAGGGGGTGTGGCCCAACGAAATTTCACTGACGGTCCTTCCAGCCCTCAGGACGGAAGAATATGCAAAAATATATGCAGAACGAGGTCTGGGGAATTGTTGGAAAGTGCCCCATAAGGACACCGCAGCGTGGTACCGTAATTTGGTAAATCGACGCCATGAACTAAAAAGAATTTTATGACTCAACGAGCAATTTTTAAAATCACTGAAAATATATCTAGCATTAATGAGTAATGCTACACTCGAAATGCATTTTAGGCCATGTTAGAATTTGAGAGGTTTTAAAAATTTCAATTCAAAGGTTGCATACTTACATACGTATGTATATATATGTAGAAAAATTAATGAATTTGTAAAGTAACATATTTCCCAATTATGAAGAGAAGTTTATGTCACCATTAGGGGGTCAAGCAAATGTTGATGATTATTGACAAAGAGAGGTTAGGTGGGTGTCGAAGAATTCTTTTCTTTTCTCGACATAATATATGAACGGGCCCCAAGATACCAGGTGATTGAGTGGTGGTGGTGGGTGTGCTGGTGGTGGCCCCCCTCGGGCCACCGCCGGACAATTTTCTCTGGTGGTAAACTTTCTTACCACTAGAGAACAGATCAAATGCGGTGCCGAAGCTTAACCAGTGTTTGTTAAGGCCAATGGGAGGCGAGGAAGGAGTGGCAGTGGAAGTGTAGATCCTCTTCCCGTACACACGCTGTGTATGGTAAGTGAGACACAGATTGCTCCGCCGCTGCCTGATCCTCTCGTTTCCCGTACACAGGCTGTGTATGGGAAGAGAGACTGAGACACAGACTGTCTCACGTGTTGCCGGCACATTTTATGCGTAGATTCATAGGACGTATATGTATTTACGAAATTATCTGAAATATGTATGTAAAATTTACAAAAAAAGCATCCAAATATTTAAAAAATATGTACGAAAATTACATAAAAATAAGAAATGTTTAGCAAAATTAGTATTTTGAAATATGGTGCTTTGGATTGTTAAAATTTTTGTGGCGCAATAAAAACAAGTGGTAAATAAATGCATATCCGTCTTCCGCATTAAATTGACATACTTATTTGACTTATTTATCATGCATCTTAATTCTCAAGAACAAACTGTCACATTACGCATAAAGTCCCTCCAAATCTAACAATATTAGAAATTTAGCTGGATTTCCTTCCTTTCCAATAAAAAAATGAGGTAAATATTTTCGTACATTGTTTACACAATATTCCTAAACATTGTCCCGTAACTACGGACATTATTTACGATAACCATTATCAATATTTTTACATATATAGTGGGAGAAATTCCTCCAGAACCCGACCTGGCCGTGGAAACGCACGGTAAGTATAACTTGAATGTTTATAACTTTTATATGAAGGACATTGTTAAATGGAGAATACTACTGTATACTATCACAGAATCATTAACAATGTTCTTACATATTTTAGTGGGGGAAATTCCTCCAGAGCCCGACCTGGCCGTGGGACGATAAGGCAAGATCACTTTAAATTTTTCCTTTCATCGCGATTTAATTTGTTTCTGTAAAATTATGCATATGACAAATGGCTTAGTGGTTGTGTGATTTAATCATGCTCGACCAAGGGTTTAGTGGTTGTGTGATTTAATCATGCTCGACCAAGGGTTTAGTGGTTGTGTGATTTAATCACGCTCGACCAAGGGTTTAGTGGTTGTGTGATTTAATCACGCTCGACCAAGGGTTTAGTGGTTGTGTGATTTAATCATGCTCGACCAAGGGTTTAGTGGTTGTGTGATTTAATCACGCTCGACCAAGGGTTTAGTGGTTGTGTGATTTAATCACGCTCGACCAAGGGTTTAGTGGTTGTGTGATTTAATCACGCTCGACCAAGGGTTTAGTGGTTGTGTGATTTAATCATGCTCGACCAAGGGTTTAGTGGTTGTGTGATTTAATCACGCTCGACCAAGGGTTTAGTGGTTGTGTGATTTAATCACGCTCGACCAAGGGTTTAGTGGTTGTGTGATTTAATCATGCTCGACCAAGGGTTTAGTGGTTGTGTGATTTAATCACGCTCGACCAAGGGTTTAGTGGTTGTGTGATTTAATCACGCTCGACCAAGGGTTTAGTGGTTGTGTGATTTAATCACGCTCGACCAAGGGTTTAGTGGTTGTGTGATTTAATCATGCTCGACCAAGGGTTTAGTGGTTGTGTGATTTAATCATGCTCGACCAAGGGTTTAGTGGTTGTGTGATTTAATCACGCTCGACCAAGGGTTTAGTGGTTGTGTGATTTAATCACGCTCGACCAAGGGTTTAGTGGTTGTGTGATTTAATCACGCTCGACCAAGGGTTTAGTGGTTGTGTGATTTAATCACGCTCGACCAAGGGTTTAGTGGTTGTGTGATTTAATCACGCTCGACCAAGGGTTTAGTGGTTGTGTGATTTAATCACGCTCGACCAAGGGTTAAGCTAGAGTTTGTTGAATAATCGTGTTTATTATGCATGTTTTATTATTTTGCCTATGTTTGTAGGCAGAGGGGCCCAGAGGCCGAGGATTACGAGGATTACGAGGTGGAGGAGATTCTGATGCATATCCTGAATGACAACGAGGAACCTGAGTTTATGATAAGGTGGAAGGGTTGGTAAGTGAATTTTACCTACTCTATTTTACATAATAATACTGATAATATTAGCATCAATTTTATATAAAATTGGACTTATTTACTTAATAAATTTATTTTTTAAAGGGGTGCAGAGCATGACTCTTGGTTAACAGCGGAAGACTTGCAAAACTCCGGGGACCTCCTTACTTCTTACATGGCACAGCAAACCATATCAGTTGCTAAAATCAATCGTAAACAATGTGAGGTTTACGAAACGAAGCTTGTCGCTTCAATCAATCAAGTAGTTCAAGCTCCTCCATCTTCAGCTTCGAGCTCTTCAATATCTAGTAGTGCTGCAAGTTCAGTCATCATAAACCCACCCGTCCAATCGTCCGTTGAGTTATCCCTCCAGCAACTCGTTGCTGACTTGAGGGATAATGTTGACGAAGCGCAAGTTAACCCCGCTTCATCAACTCGACCTCTTTCCGTGTCGTCAAGACGGTCGTACGGAGATCACAGACGAAGTCCTGCAGGACAGTTAAACAGAAGCTTCTGCAGAAGATGCAAGACTAGAGGTCACCGTGAAAGTGACTGCCCCTCCCCTAAATTTACCACCGCCAATTTCCCCATATTGCCTGCCACATTGATACTTAATTAATAAGCAAATTAATACTTAGGGTTGCAATTCCCAAAATTTATTTCACTCAGTAAAAACATAGTTAAATATAATATTTATTTTTAATTTATCTTTCAATAAAATTTATTTCTGGTATCCTTAAAATTTCTTCCAAAATTAATACCGAAGTTATCTGATTAATTATCATGATGCTGAATTTACAAGCTGCTTAATAAATATCAAATTAATATTGCTTGAGTACCTATTGACCCAGTTTTTTCTTTTTTAAATTCTTATTATGGATAATGAATGGTTCATCGTCCTCTCCTTCATGTATTATGGGTACCTCTTGCGGCCGGTGCTTAGACGAATATTTTGCAAATGAATCTTCGAACTTAGAAAGAACAGCTAGCTTGTCCTTTATTTCGACGATATTCTCAACATATGGGTAGGTGTATGTAAAGTCTTTAAATCCTTAGATTGAAATTAATATTTCAATATTAACCATGCTTAATATATACTAATCCATACTTTATTACCTGTGTGTGCTCGAGCACCCCCACAATCGGTTAAAAAGTCACCTTTCTCGTCGCTTCTCAAAATTATAGTAACGGCATCTTTGAAATCCTTACTATATTTTTCAAACTCCTTTGTTCCCCGTCTCGGTGGTTCCAAGCACTTTAGAACTTTGGCCAGTTCTTCGGTAACCTCATCCACAAACTGAAACGATTGGCTTGATCGGGCAATTGATTTATCTGTGGCGCTCCCCGACATTTTCTTCAAACAGACATCATGAGCTCCGTTTAAAAGTTCATTACCTGTTAAATTTATTCCTTTAACAATGAATTAAGCATTTAACTATATCGTCGTATTAATTCGAAAACGACGTAAGTGCAGTCGTGTGTTAATTCGAAAACGACGTAAGTGCAGTCGTGTGTTAATTCGAAAAAGACGTAAGTGCAGTCGTGTGTTAATCCGAAAAAGACGTAAGTACACAATAAAATCTTGTAAAAGGACGTAAGTGCAATTATAACTTTAACAACTGGTCAGTTTTTGTTCAAAATTACTTCGTAAGTTTAAATACATATTTATATATTGGAATGTGCTAAATATTTATGCATTAAAGTTTGTAACTCTTTGGAGTTTGTCAAAAATTAAATTATATATAATTTGTATATATAACTAAAGTCTCGGGTTAACTGTTGAGTAGAGTGGACGTGTCCTCTCTCGCTCTATGTAATACGCCTACTTTTTAAGTTAGTCTGTAAAATCTAACAAAATCTAATATTTCTTTTGGTCTGTAAAATCCAAATAAATGAATATTAAATGAACAATGAATATTAAGTATGTTCAACCAATTACTTTCCAAATTGAGTTGGAGTAGGACAAAATTAAAACTGTCAACTGAGACTAATGTTATCTCTAATTTAATTATTTGATTGTAAAGGCGTCCGCTGTATCAATCTGAGGAATAAACTATTTATCTATCTATCTATATATATAACTATTGGTTGTGAAATTTCAAAATCTCGGTTTGCGGAATCATACGTATGACCCTACGGGGAGGATCCCGTCATATTTTGGGGCCAATCGGATCACACCCCCTCGCTCCCATGGCGTGTGGTCAGAGCAAAATGAGGCTTTTACAAAAATTGAATCCATGGATGAAATAGAGTTAAAGTAAGTGTTCCCGACTTGTGACACACACCCTCGAGCCTAGGGGGTGTGGTCAGGGCAAAATGAGATTTTTACAAATATTGAATCGAACACGTAGGAGATATAAAACCATAAGATTGATTTATTAATTAGGATTGATAAAACAGTAAAACATGTAAGATGCATTATTCTTCAGAGTGGCAAGATAGAATGAGGAAATCTCAATTATTTTGTTATTTTTACATAATTCAGATTCGGCAATCTTTGTTTTCTTTGTTGTATCGCATTCTCAGTATTTTTGCGCTACTTGTGTACCGTGCGTTGCCGCAGTTTATTTATTAATGAAATTATTGATGAAGATGAAAGATTTACTTCAATAAATATAATATACATATTTTAATTTTAATTTCAAACTTAATTAAATATAATTAGTTTTGAAAAAACTGACCTGTTGTTAAAATTATAATTGCACTTACGTCCTTTTACAAGATTTTATTGTGTACTTACGTCTTTTTCGGATTAACACACGACTGCACTTACGTCTTTTTCGGATTAACACACGACTGCACTTACGTCTTTTTCGGATTAACACACGACTGCACTTACGTCGTTTTCGAATTAATACGACGATATTATATCTCAATTTGGTAATTTTTTGTTGACGCGATCAAAATTGAGGATGAAAATCAGGGTGGCTGACACACCACCTCAAAAGTGAAAATATTTCAAACCCCTCAATTTCTGGTTACACACCAATGTATGACTCAACAAAATCAGTCTTAAAAAAAATTATTCATCACCTAGTGTGGCAGACTATATCCAAAATCATCAAAACAGTGCCAATAAATTTCAGGGAACGCCACTGACGTTACAGAACCTAGTAGCCAAACGGGTAAAGATATCTTAACTAACTTTTCGCCGATTTAAGGCAGAATGATAGGAGATTACAACGTTTAAAAAATTAAGGCCTCAAGGTACATTAAAGAGGAAAAACTAAGAACCAAAATGGGATTCAACTAAGTTTGCAAAAAAGGGCAATCCAAAATACTCGCCAGTTGTGACGAAGCGTACATTACAATAACGCCACGAAACGTTTGCACCTAGAAATTTTTTATTGGTCGCAAGGATGTGAAATATGAAGTTAGTGTATTTCCCAAAGTCAAATTCGCAAAAACAGGCGGATTTGGATAGCCTTGGACCAAAATGGAGCAATTTCAAAGCCCGAAATTATGGATAGGATCATGACCCCATCTCTTTATTTATCAAAATGGATCAAACACCGATTCATTCAATTCATTCATTCATTCATTCAATGGTTATCAGGAGACCCAGTCAGATTTTGTTCGGATGAAGCCACTTGCCATTACGATTGAATTTTTTACCGACTACCTCAGCGAGAAAAAAATTTGTTTTCTGGCAAAATTGGAACATGCCAACAATGTTCTCCAAACAACTGGGATTGAAAGATTTTAGGCTTGATGCGAAAGAGAACATTCATGATGACCGAAAGTGACGAAAATCCTGCTTGGAATTCGACTCGTAATGAGTCAAACCTGAAGATTGTGGGGAGAAAGTCAGGAAAAGAAAAATTAGCAGGCGTGGAAAAACCTGTGAGAAATTTCTTCTACAGGGTCGACGGGACCAAAGTGATTTTGATCAATGTTGTGCATCGCATTTTTAACTATTATGAACAAAGTTGTTAACATTTGAACTTATTGTTTAGTAATGAACGACTTTTCAAATAGTGCCACAACTTATGAATCAAACCTTATGTACTTCCAACGTCAATTCTTAACAAGAAATACTTTGATAAATCGGGTGCCCGGCAGGGTGCAAACCCTGCTGAAATTGGTTTTCATGTCACAACAAGTCCATCAATTTACATATTTTGACATCGTCGTCATTTCTTACCTGATACCGACGACATATTTATAATGATACGCTTTGTTTCTAGTACTTCCTTCTGTCTTCGTCGTTAAATTTAATAATTTTCGTTAGGTTAGGTCAGGTCAATCAGTGTTTCTTTTTGTGCGCACGAAATTTGTTTATGCATGCAGGATGCATAAAGTAGCACAAAAATGCACAAAAATGCATAAAAATTCATAATATTACATCAAATTCAACTAATGCTGGGAATTTCATATTTCCGAAAAATTTTATACTTTCCTACATTATCAAATTGGAATTTGTATATATTTCGGATAACATGGAATTATTATTTGACAAGAAAATTTCAAACAAATTACAAGTATGTATTTGTTTTGCTATACAATACAACCAATTCAGCCGTTCATAAACATCTAGTACAATATCTGGTAAAATAATTAATTTTTAAAAGATGTGGTACATCTGGTAAAATAATTAATTTTTAAAAGATGTACAATATCTGATAACATAATTGATTTTTGAAAGAGCTGGTACAATATCTGGTAAAATAATTAATTTTTAAAAAAGCTGGTACAATATCTGCTACAATAATTAATTTTTAAAAGATGTAGTACAATATCTGGTAACATAATTAATTTTTAAAAGAGCTGGTAAACTATCTGGTAAAATAATTAATTTTTAAAAGAGCTGAAACAATATCTGGTAAAATAATTAATTTTTAAAAGAGCTGAAACAATATCTGGTAAAATAATTAATTTTTAAAAGAGATGGTAAACTATCTGGTAAAATAATTAATTTTTAAAAGAGCTGAAACAATATCTGGTAAAATAATCAATTTTTAAAAGAGCTGGCCCAATATCTGGTAAAATAATTAATTTTTAAAAGAGCTGGCCCAATATGTGGTAAAATAATTAATTTTTAAAAGTGCTGGTATAATAGCTGGTAAAATAATTAATATTTAAAAGAGCTGGTACACTATCGGGTATTAATTTTTTTATTTTTTTTCCTAACTGCCTTATGTCATTAATTTTTAATTTTGTTTCTCCCAACAGCCTTATTTGATTAATTTTTAATTTTTATTTCTCCCAACAGCCTTATTTCCAGGCAGGGTTCGCTACCCCGGGTTTTTGTGGGTTGGGGTTTTTGGGGTTTTTGTGGGTTTTTGGGGTATCAAATCTCCGGAAAAACCCTAATGCTTAATGGGGTTTTTGCGGGTTTTTGTGGGTTTTTGTGGGTTTTTCCGGGGTTTTTGTAAGATTTTGGGACAGATTGAAACAAAATCCCTTAAACTACAACTTAAATCAATGCTAATTAAATTGACGGATTCATCATGAAATTTTGAGAATTTTCATGTGCGACTTGAATTTCCAAGTTTTATTGCATATTTCCAAGTTTGCATGCGAAATATGAATTTTCGATTTAACAGTCCAACTCAATGATAACGCTTAAAATTGCATGTCAAAATTGTATATTAAATTACTTTTTATCTAATATATAATTTAAAGAATTTTGGTTCAACCTGCCCCAAAATCTACAAAAACCCACAAAAACCCACAAAAACCCAAAAACCCACAAAAACCCCAAAAACCCCGGAAAAACCCGCGGGGTTGGGTTTTTCTAGAAAAACCCCGGGGTTTTCCGAACCCTGTTTCCAGGCTGTTGCAAGCCTCGGTTCTCTTAACTCCAAAAGGGGATTACACAACGGACGTGATATTTTTTTTTTGTAATTCCAATATTTTTTTTATGTTGATGACCTTGATCCAGTGAACATAATTAGTCATTACAACACCCCTCTAAGTGACCTAGTTTGACCGGAAATTGAGGTCAAAGGTCAAAAACTCGTTTGCTGTTTAACGCCAGAAACCTTATATGGAACAATACGGGCAGAAGGACCCCTCTCCGATCGGGGAATGTGATACGTCAAAATGTCGGGTTTTTCATGCTGATCAAGAATATATAAATTTTTTGACCGACAAATGTATATTAAGGTCACAAAAAAAGGTCAAAGGTCAAAATTTTTTATTGCATTTTTGGACGTTTCAGGGCATTCTAAGACTTTGTCTCACTTTTCCCCATGGCGGGAATTTTTTTGGGGTGACGTGAGATTTCTAGTTTTTGTGTCGAATGTCGAATGTCTGGTTGGGTTGTACCCTGTCTGGTGTAAAATCTTTGGGGCACTATGAGATTTGGGACTAAGTGGATCATCGATTATCGTAATTCTGCCCAATATTGGGGTATTGTTCGTTTTTAAGCAAACGAAGCGAGCAGGTTAGGTTAGTTTTACTAGGTATGCGGAAAGCGTTGCTATTCCAGCTAGCAATCCTAGCTAGCAGTCCTAGCTAGGAATCCTAGCTAGACACTAGAAATCTCATGTCACCCCAAAAAAATTCCCGCCATGGGGAAAAGTGAGACAAAGTCTTAGAATGCCCTGAAACGTCCAAAAATGCAATAAAAAATTTTGACCTTTGACCTCAATTTCCGGTCATACTAGGTCACTTAGAGGGGTGTTGTAATGACTAATTATGTTCACTGGATCAAGGTCATCAACATAAAAAAATTGGAATTACAAAAAAAAAAATATATCACGTCCGTTGTGTAATCCCCTTTTGGAGTTAAGAGAACCGAGGCTTGCAACAGCCTGCTTATTTCAATAATTTTTAATTTTTTTTGCCTAACAGCCTTATTTCATTAATTTTTAATTTTTTTTCTCCCAACAGCCTTATTTAATAAATTTGTAATTTTTTTTTGTCGCGTGAGTTGTATCTCATCTCGCGCCAATTAGCAAAAAGGCACCCATTTTTGAGGGGCAAAAAAGCAAAAACCTATCAGTACAGCTTTGCTTAGCCCGAACCAGGATTGATTAGTAAACTCATGTTTGTCAGAATGTTGTACTATTTTTCACTAGTTCTTGCATTAACTAGCGTAACTTGGTAGTATTGCTTGGCACCAAATACCACGAGCAGTGGAGGCTGTTCGTATAAAAATTTCGAAATTCAACCGTCCTAAATTCTAATCTAAGTTATTTTTTGACTCCTCACTAAATTTTAGCTGAATATATAAACTCTTAGAAATCGGTATGGGCACCCTTAGTGCCCCTCTGGTTACTTTTTGTTCATCTTTGACTTCATATAATTTCATGAGAAGCCATTAAGTATCACCGTTCCAAATTTCAGCTTTTTACGACAAGTTATGAAAATCGGTATGGGTCACCCCAACTGGTCTCGGCATGTGAAAATTTTACCAATTTCACTTCATATTCTTCCATTAGGGGCCATTAGCAGCCTCTATACCAAATTTCAGCTCGATTGAATAATTTTGAAAAATCGGTATGGGTCACCCCCTCGGCCACCTCAGGTTGAATAATTTTCCAATTTCACTTCATATTATTTCATTTGGAGCCATTAGCAACCTCTGTACCAAATTTTAGCTTTCTACGACCATTCTGAAATTTTGGTGCATCAAACCCCACCCACTCCGATGACCCCCACCGGTCAACCACTTGACCGATTTGGCCCATCTTCGAACTCGTTTCCTAACTTTGTCCAATACACATGTGGTAAAAATTTCAAGTCAATCGGTCAACTCGTTCGAGAGCTATCGAAAGACAGACGGACATGACAATTACATAAGCCCTGGTTCGGGCTAAAAAGGCATTGCCTTTTTGCTCTGCACACACTTATTATACAGAAGCCGCCATAGAGTTATATGTATAATATACGGTAGCAATCAAGGGAGAAATACAGCTAGAAATGCGTAATTAGCGAAGAAACATTTATTTCGTGCCAAAATGACGACCTATCGGACTCATATATGCAAAAGCATGGAGAAAGTTGTGTTTCGGTATGTGCTAACTTGCTCACCACAAAAATAACCACGAACGACAAGGAAGACTGCACTTACTCCTCAGGTATCATTTTACTCCGACAATTTAACTTTGCATGAAACCAATCGCATGGAAACTCTCTTGGGGGACATTCGCAACAGCACCAAAAAAACAGGAAATGATAAACACCCCTAAAATGCACCCCTCGTAAAAGCTTGTATGCATAAACTGCCATGCGGTGCGAACCAATAATCAATTTTCGCCTTAGAAAAAAAAATCCACATTATTTGCATCATCGGAAAAACCCAACAGGCAGGCAGATAAAAATTTTTGGAACTAGGAAGAAGCCCCCCATGTGAAAACCTAGCATCAATATATAGCGTGGGTTTGCTAGAGCGTCCGTCAACAAAGACCAAAATTTCTGGGATCCAATTTATTGGGTCTGGGGATAATGAATAGTTGTGTTTACCATTTTTTAACACCATAAAATTACTGTACAAATTGGATCATAATAATACACACAAGTGAATGATTTGTTTACTGGAGATGTCCTTGCCAGGACACACGAACTACAAGCTGTGATTGAACTACCCAGTAACTCAAATAAATAAGTCCGATGATAAACAAAAGACCGCACGTGTGCAAAATGCACAATCTAACGGAGAGAAGATGTATAATCTATAATAAATCGATTACCAGCCCACACAATTAGGGCGAGACCTGCAACTTGGAATTTGCAACTGGAACTTTAATTTTGCAGGTGTAACTGGAATTTTGCATCAGCGACTGGAATTTTGCATCAGCTTCTGATCTTCATCACTTACAATTAGTCATGACTCCATCTCATGCAATGCTATCTCTGTGTGGCATGACATTCCACTCAATCACGTTTGTTGACATCTATTTGATTGAAAAGCGAAACTGCTACATATATCATTATTTGTATGCATGTTGGTTCAACCTAAGGCCTAAATATGTAAGACATTATCATTTAGCTTGACAGAAAAAAATGAGTCCATGGTTAAATAAATAACTACCGGCACTATATGTTTTCATAATTTCTTAAAACTTGCATGTTCGATCCGAACCAGATCAGTCCTAATTACACTGCGGACGAACAATCACTAACCAGCACGACCTACCCCTAACCTAACCAAAAACTCCCAAAATGACTATTTCATCTCTAACTTGCATTATCCTCCTGCTAGGATCATGCTGTTTTCTCAGCCATGCCCAACAGGTATGGGGGCACTTAGTGCTCGGCACGAGACGAGACGAGACGAGATTGCCTTGTCTCGTCTCGTCTCGAAAGTGACTCGAGACGAAGTAATCGAGACGAGACGAGATGACGATTTTGTCATCTCGTCTCGTCTCGAATCTCGTCTCGGTCGAGACGAGACGAGACGTCTCGACATTCATCCATGTTTTTCAAAATATCTTTTGTATTCTTCAGATAATTACAAAATACAAATACACAAACTGCAAATATTTAGAATATTATTAATTGGCCTTGTATTCCTTATATAGTAAACTACATACTAGTAGTTTACACAAAAAAATAAAGGATAAATCTTAATCGTAAGCTAGTAACGGGACGACAAAATTTTACGACGCTTCCATTGAGTCATTTCACGTCAATTTTCGTTAGTACGTAAACACGTAAACTTACTAACCTTACGACCTTTTGACAAAACGTACCAATATCTCTTGTATGTGATTTTTACCCAGATAAGTCAAATTTTTGGTTCGTAAGATGATCTTCGCAGGCTTATGAACATAGAATATAAAGAATTAGAAGAAGCACTCTGCTCTTTGTTAAGCAAGTAAGGGGGATGACTCTCCACGTCACATACGAGAGGTCGCCAGAGGCCCTCAGCCCCTCAATGTTAAACTAAATGGCAAACTCGCAGAGTTAACTCCTACTCCATCTGTGAGTGACGTGGAACATCTCTTTCTGTATCTTTTATATCGTGGTGGTTAATTACTCGTCGCTAGAGCCCTCACTAATACTATCTTTTATGCATTTTGTATTTACCAATGCTAAGATACTACCCATCGCTTATGAACGTAATTACGAGCTTACGAAGGCTAACATGAAATACCTGAATGACTCGTAACCGTCATAGCTTATGTTACTACATATACAAAGAATACTTGGGATATGGATACGAAGGAATTGTTACCCGCAGTATATACAATTTATAATTGGAGTTATATAGTTAGTGTCATATTTGAGTGTCTTTTACGTAAAAATCAGAATATTTGCAGATTGGTTAAAGTTTTGATCATAATTATTCGTTTTATCTATTGTCTCTAAAAAAAAATTTTTGAAGGATACTGCATTTCCCAAAGCTGCTCGCTCCTTGCAGAAGGCTAGAGGACGGAGAATTTGCTGCTAAATTTCTAAATTTTTGATGTATCGAGACGTCTCGTCTCGACCGAGATTTGTCGAGACGAGATGGCGTTGGTCTCGTCTCGATCTCGTCTCGTCCCGAAATCTTTCGAGACGAAAAAGTTGGTCTCGTCTCGTCTCGTATCTCGTCTCGTCTCGAAATTTTCGAGATGGTCTCGTCTCGCGCCGAGCACTAGGGGCACTGTATATTACTGACTGGATAATTCAAGTATTAAAATTTTCCGTTGTTCCAATGTAAAATTCCTAGTTTACCAGCCAATGTGACAAGCCAAGGAATGCAAATCTACCATTTTGCGACTCCAGCTTGCCCACAGAAGCTCGCGTGTCGGATTTGATCTTTCGCCTCACCTTGGCCGAGAAGATTGGTCTGCTCGTTCACGAGACGGAGGGTGCCACTCAAAACGTGGATCTGGACTCGTACAACTGGTGGAACGAGGGTCTCAAAGGGGTCGCCGATGCGCCAGGGGCTCATTTCCGACCCCCCACGGAATACTCGACCGTGTTCCCACAACCCATCAACCTTGCCTCCTCCTTCAGTAAAGAACTCTTCTTCCAAGTCGGCAACATAACGGGGAACGAAGCAAGGTTTTAAACAATAAATACTTAAAGCGAAAATTGCACACATTTCTGAACAATCAATATTGCAGAGCATTCTTCAACGTGGGGAATGGAGGGCTGACGTACTGGTCACCAAACATAAACATCTACCGCGACCCCAGATGGGGGAGAGGTCACGAAACCCCGGGAGAAGATCCACGCCTCAGTACGGAATTCGCACGTTACTTCATTCGCGGATTGCAGGGTGACGAATCTGCAAATGGATTCCTCAAGACTTCCGCGTGCTGCAAACATTTCGCCGCACACTCGCTGGAGAACGATAGATTCACCTTTGACGCTGTTGTCAACGAGCAGGACATGGCGGACACGTACCTCCCCGTGTTCAAGAGTTGTGTACAAGAGGTAGGCTTTTCTTTTGAGGGTTGCTCAGAAAACTCAGGCTACACGTTCGGAAATTTATCTGTTCTTATCTTATTTGCATATTTGTAGTCGGACGTGAGCTGTATCATGTGTGCTTACTCGGCCATTAACGGAATCCCCGCCTGCGCAGATAAAGGCCTACTGACCGACAAGATCCGAGGGGAGTGGGGTTTCGAGGGCTATATCGTGTCCGACTGCGGGGCGGTCGACTTTGTCCAAAGGACCCACAACTATACCCAGTTCCCCAACGAGACCTGCCACGCCGTTCTAGACGCCGGGGTCGACATCGAGTGCTACGCCTACAACGGTCCCTTCTTCACCCGCTACTTGGGAGACGCCGTGGCGGAAGGGGCAGTCACCCCGGCCGTGCTGGATACCGCGCTCGCCAACGGGTTCAGGGTCCTCATGCGGCTCGGATACTTTGAAAAGAATGCGACCCGTCCCTTCACCGACCTTCTGCCACCCATCGTGGACAGCCAACCTCATCGAGACGCCGCCTTGGCCGCGGCCCGACAAAGTATCGTCCTCCTTAAGAACTCCCCCGTCTTGGGGAAGGCAGGCAAGGCCCCACTACCCGTTACTTTGGGGGCACAAAAACAAGGCACGATGGCCTTGATCGGACCACACCTGAACGCCTCGAGAGCCTTCTTGGCCAACTACCATGGAATTCCTTCCTCCATCTCGACCCCATTGAGTGCCATCCGAGCCTCCTTTCCCAACGCCCAGTACGAATTCGGCTGCGACTTGATATCCACAACGAACCCGCATTTGGATGAGGCCGCCGCCCTGGCCGCGATCTCCTCCCCCGTCGTTCTCTTTGTGGGGATCAACGCTGCGCAGTTTGAGGAGGAGGGGGTCGAGTATGAAGAGCATGACAGGTTAAACTTGACCCTGACAGGGTTGCAGCCTGAACTCATCCGAACTGTCCTAGCCGCCGCGAGGGAGCCCGTGATCCTCTTCGTGGTCTCGGGTGGCGTGGTGGACCTGTCCGAGTGGAAGGATGATCCCCGAGTGGGAGCCATCATCTGGGCGGGATATCTGGGGCAGGCGGGCGGAGAGGCGATAGCAGACGTCCTTTTCGGCCGGTACAATCCGTCGGGACGCCTGGCACAAACGTTCTACTCGAACGAAGTGATCACCCAGTTTGAGAAGTATGATATGAACATGCGCCCCACGGAGGGAACGTCGACGGGGAGGACGTATCGTTTTTACGAGGGGACGCCCGTCTATCCATTCGGGTTCGGATTGTCCTACACAACCTTCGAGTATAGCATTCTTAACTTGCCCCCTATCCTTGAAATACCGACGATCGGAGGAGTGGATCAAGACTGCGCAGTGATGGTCACTCTGGCCGTGAGGAACGTGGGGGTGACTGCGGGGGATCACTCGGTCCTCTGGTTTCTCGCCCCACCCAACGCAGGACAGGGAGGAAGACCAATTAGGGATTTGCTCGATTTTGAAAAACTGGAGAATATTTCAGCGAATGAGGTGAGGGAGGCAAACCTTTGTCTGAATCGGGACCACTTCGTCCTGGCGAATGAGGCAGGGGAGTGGGAAGTTGTTCCAGGGGACTGGACCCTGCAGGTGGGACAATTGGAGAGAGTTATTCGTGTTGCCGTTTAAATATCAAAATTCATGGTTATGACTTGTTGTGAATAAATTAAATCATGTTTGTCCGACTCTGACTCGCACGAAGCTATTCATAAAATTGCATACATATCCGTATCCTAAGGTGCCCTCAACATGTGCCCCTTATCATATTTGGCGTAAAGGGTTTACTCAAGCAAAATACAAGAAATGATATGCCCATGCTATTTTGGCCTAATAGTTTTTTATGAAGAAATTGTGATCGAAAATTTGATTAATGATGAAATTTTCTGCAGCATAAAACCAATCAATCTTTAAATCCATTTTATTTTAAGACCCGTCAGTAGTACAAGTGTCTAGGTTTTTTCGCCAAAGATTTCTCGCCGGCTTTATTTCTTATGGGGAAATCCTTGGCTAGGTTTTTTCGCCAAAGATTTCTCGCCCGCTTTATTTCTTATGGGGAAATCCTTGGCTAGGTTTTCTCGCCAAGGATTTCTCGCCCGCTTTATTTCTTATGGGAAAAAAGACGGGTCCTCATCACACACTTCTTATGAGGAAAAAGAGGGCTCCTCGCCACATACTTTTCCTTACGGGAAAAAATACGGGTTCTCGCCACCATACATTGCCTTATGAGGGAAAAAGACGGTTAGGGTTTCTCGCCACAAGGCCTTTATAGCATGGGTATGTATTGCAAGGATATGCTGACTGCTTATAGTAACCAAAGTCTCAGATGTATTTTCATGTGTCGAAAAATAATGGCGGGACTTCTCAAATTGCCCCAAATATCTCAGTTTACCCCCGTGCGATAGATTATCCTGGTGTCTCTGATTACCCCAAATTACTAAAATTACCCAAAATCTCAAATTACCCCAACAATGTATTTCTTATGGAAAAAAATCTTTCAGATGGGGGTACATGGGTTGAGAAGAAATGATGGCGGGACGTTTGAGACTAAATTATCAAAAATGTCTCAATTTACCCTATTTGTCTCATTTTATTCAAGTATCTCAATTTACCCCAATTGTCTCAAATTCCCCACTTATCTTAAAAACCATCAACGAATCATTTTACCTCTATATAGACAAGTAATACTCATTCAATTCTTAGTTACTCGCAGAGTCTTCAAGTTTAAAAATGCCTTTCTACTGTGTGCCCAAACATTTAGTTTGGTTGAGCCTTTTTATCTTGGCATTTGATATAACGTTACTCGTAATAATCTGCTCATATTCTATAATTGAAAGTGGAAAATCAAACCAAACCGGTTACTCATGGCAACCAAAATCACAGATGTGTTTTCATGTGTCAATAAATATTGGCGGGACGACTCAAATTACCCCAAAATTTCTCGAATTGCCCCAAATGTATCAATTTACCCCCTGTGTCATTGATTTTCATGTTGTCTCAATATACCCCAAATGACTAAAACTACCCCCAAAATCTCAAATTACCCCAATAATGTATTTCTTATGGGAAAAAATCCTTCGGTTGGGTGTACATGGGTTAGTAAGAAATGATGGCGGGACATTTGAGACTTGAGGTCTCAATTTATATTCTCCCAAATTATCCAAGTGTGTCAATTTACGCCCAAATGTCTCATGTTAACTGATTTGTCTCAATTTATTCAAGTATCCCAATTTATCCAAATACCTCAATTTACCCCAATTAAATATTTCAAAGCACCCCAAATATTCCAAATTACCCCGAGCCTTTTCTACGGCTCCGCCCAACGGCTCTTCCTTACAATACATTTCTTATGGGAGAACTTATTCCCATAGCGTTTAAGGATAGACACCTTTGTTATGAGACCAAGGTATGTGTATGGTGTAGTAAGTCATCATGTAAGGGTATGCCAGTATTTTTTATGTCCCCTCCTATGCTTTACGTTTTATTATGGATAGAAAAGGTTGAAAAGGTGGAGTTCGACCTTTTTGTTGGTGGTAGTGTTGATACTAATAAGCAAGTTACGAGAAAAAGATTGAAAAAAGGTAGAGTGAAACGTTTTCTGAAGCTAGTGGTGATACTAATGATGACACAATTTTTCACCAACGTTTAAAATAGTACTTAGGAAGGTTTATCTACAAAAGTATAGCGTTATTTGTGAAAATATGATATTCACGCATGAAAAAACTTATTGTTTTAAAAACATGAAAAATTATATATGAAAATTGTTTGCAGTAATGAGATGAAATAACAGATCAGAAGTATTTATAATTAGCATTTATTGTCAAAGATTTGTTAAATAATTCTTAAAATTGTGTGTTTATTTATTATGCGCAGTAAATTTGACTGGGTTCTTGTCTAATGTAAACCTTTCCCATTTATTTATTATCATAAGTAAAGTTGGGATATGTAGGTCAGGCAGTGCCTAAGTACACAGCACACAAACTTTTAGAAAAATTATCTCCCTTTAACTTTATTGCGTTAACAACAAAACACTAAAACCACTTGATTTTTAAGCCGAATTAAAAGACAATGTTGTTGCTTTGCACAAGAATTAGAAGGTTTTTGATCTTTTATTTTGAGTAATTTGGAAGTGGACAGTTGTTCATTTAGCATTGAGTAGGTTTCAACGTTTTCTTACTGGTAATCAAGCGTATGGATTATCATTTGGGAGACCTTCAGATGATCTTACGATATCAGTAAGTAATTAACGAGTCACAACCATTTCTCCATTCTTTGCCGCCTGCATAATAGACGCTATTACATTTTTCACATGCTCCCCAAACGTTAACATTTTCTCCTCTTGGGTTTGGGGGAGTTCTAGAAACTGCATCAATTTTGTTAACACATTCATCGAATCTTCATTGCTTAGCATCAATTCTACTCCATGAATATGATACTCAGAAAGTGGTTCACCCCAAAAATCTACACGGTCAGCCTTATGCAATGTCCGACACACCTTACAGCATTCACCAGAAGTTCCACTTGCCTGACTTTCTGTATCATCTTCTCCCTCTTCTTCGTCCGAAGACGCGTCTGAACTTGAATCTCGACTGTCCCCTTCTCTACTACAATTTGACAGCTTGTTCCTTCTTCCACCTCGAGATCGTCTTTCTTTTTTTGCTTGGGGTTCATCATCGGAGCTAGTTTCGTTGGACTCTGATGTGTCCGCTGAGTCATCCTGGTTCGTTTCAGCATCATCAGAATCAAACAACGTCACTTTGTGAAACCCAGTTTTATGAGTACTTAAAGCCTGTTCAGAATTGAAGTGTCTGGAGCAGCGACTACATTTGTAAACCATCTTGATATCACCTCTCTAGGTCAACTGTCTGACGATAACAGCAATCTCTTCTTTTATACTGGTCCGAAATTATTGAGCCATCTGAAAGATTTTATGATTTGAGGTAAATTCATATGTTTACACATGTAATTACATATGCACACATGTGTACACGCACAAATGTATGCATATGTGCACACACATATGTATACATATGTACACATATGTACACATACATATGTATACATATGTACACATATGTACACATACATATGTATACATATGTACACATTTTGGCAAATGGGGAGGTGCCTCAAAAGCTCTACCTCCATATGATCAATTGATTTGATTTTCCACCTCACTCAGTCCAACCCTACTTAATTTGGGGGTTAGGTTTAATTAAAATAAAAATTTGATTGCAAAGTATGATAATTAAATATGAATGAGTGGAACGAGGTGCAACTTTAGGCTCAAGTCAAGATTTGAGCCTAAAGTATGAGAGACTGAAGAAGTCTCTCATTTGCACCACGTTCCACTCACTTATTTTACGTGGTGCAAATGAGAGACTTCTTCAGTCTCTCATACTTTAGGCTCAAATCTTGACTTGAGCCTAAAGTTGCACCTCGTTCCACTCATTCATATTTAATTATCATACTTTGCAATCAAATTTTTATTTTAATTAAACCTAACCCCCAAATTAAGTAGGGTTGGACTGAGTGAGGTGGAAAATCAAATCAATTGATCATATGGAGGTAGAGCTTTTGAGGCACCTCCCCATTTGCCAAAATGTGTACATATGTATACATATGTATGTGTACATATGTGTACATATGTATACATATGTATGTGTACATATGTGTACATATGTATACATATGTGTGTGCACATATGCATACATTTGTGCGTGTACACATGTGTGCATATGTAATTACATGTGTAAACATATGAATTTACCTCAAATCATAAAATCTTTCAGATGGCTCAATAATTTCGGACCAGTATAAAAGAAGAGATTGCTGTTATCGTCAGACAGTTGACCTAGAGAGGTGATATCAAGATGGTTTACAAATGTAGTCGCTGCTCCAGACACTTCAATTCTGAACAGGCTTTAAGTACTCATAAAACTGGGTTTCACAAAGTGACGTTGTTTGATTCTGATGATGCTGAAACGAACCAGGATGACTCAGCGGACACATCAGAGTCCAACGAAACTAGCTCCGATGATGAACCCCAAGCAAAAAAAGAAAGACGATCTCGAGGTGGAAGAAGGAACAAGCTGTCAAATTGTAGTAGAGAAGGGGACAGTCGAGATTCAAGTTCAGACGCGTCTTCGGACGAAGAAGAGGGAGAAGATGATACAGAAAGTCAGGCAAGTGGAACTTCTGGTGAATGCTGTAAGGTGTGTCGGACATTGCATAAGGCTGACCGTGTAGATTTTTGGGGTGAACCACTTTCTGAGTATCATATTCATGGAGTAGAATTGATGCTAAGCAATGAAGATTCGATGAATGTGTTAACAAAATTGATGCAGTTTCTAGAACTCCCCCAAACCCAAGAGGAGAAAATGTTAACGTTTGGGGAGCATGTGAAAAATGTAATAGCGTCTATTATGCAGGCGGCAAAGAATGGAGAAATGGTTGTGACTCGTTAATTACTTACTGATATCGTAAGATCATCTGAAGGTCTCCCAAATGATAATCCATACGCTTGATTACCAGTAAGAAAACGTTGAAACCTACTCAATGCTAAATGAACAACTGTCCACTTCCAAATTACTCAAAATAAAAGATCAAAAACCTTCTAATTCTTGTGCAAAGCAACAACATTGTCTTTTAATTCGGCTTAAAAATCAAGTGGTTTTAGTGTTTTGTTGTTAACGCAATAAAGTTAAAGGGAGATAATTTTTCTAAAAGTTTGTGTGCTGTGTACTTAGGCACTGCCTGACCTACATATCCCAACTTTACTTATGATAATAAATAAATGGGAAAGGTTTACATTAGACAAGAACCCAGTCAAATTTACTGCGCATAATAAATAAACACACAATTTTAAGAATTATTTAACAAATCTTTGACAATAAATGCTAATTATAAATACTTCTGATCTGTTATTTCATCTCATTACTGCAAACAATTTTCATATATAATTTTTCATGTTTTTAAAACAATAAGTTTTTTCATGCGTGAATATCATATTTTCACAAATAACGCTATACTTTTGTAGATAAACCTTCCTAAGTACTATTTTAAACGTTGGTGAAAAATTGTGTCATCATTAGTATCACCACTAGCTTCAGAAAACGTTTCACTCTACCTTTTTTCAATCTTTTTCTCGTAACTTGCTTATTAGTATCAACACTACCACCAACAAAAAGGTCGAACTCCACCTTTTCAACCTTTTCTATCCATAATAAAACGTAAAGCATAGGAGGGGACATAAAAAATACTGGCATACCCTTACATGATGACTTACTACACCATACACATACCTTGGTCTCATAACAAAGGTGTCTATCCTTAAACGCTATGGGAATAAGTTCTCCCATAAGAAATGTATTGTAAGGAAGAGCCGTTGGGCGGAGCCGTAGAAAAGGCTCGGGGTAATTTGGAATATTTGGGGTGCTTTGAAATATTTAATTGGGGTAAATTGAGGTATTTGGATAAATTGGGATACTTGAATAAATTGAGACAAATCAGTTAACATGAGACATTTGGGCGTAAATTGACACACTTGGATAATTTGGGAGAATATAAATTGAGACCTCAAGTCTCAAATGTCCCGCCATCATTTCTTACTAACCCATGTACACCCAACCGAAGGATTTTTTCCCATAAGAAATACATTATTGGGGTAATTTGAGATTTTGGGGGTAGTTTTAGTCATTTGGGGTATATTGAGACAACATGAAAATCAATGACACAGGGGGTAAATTGATACATTTGGGGCAATTCGAGAAATTTTGGGGTAATTTGAGTCGTCCCGCCAATATTTATTGACACATGAAAACACATCTGTGATTTTGGTTGCCATGAGTAACCGGTTTGGTTTGATTTTCCACTTTCAATTATAGAATATGAGCAGATTATTACGAGTAACGTTATATCAAATGCCAAGATAAAAAGGCTCAACCAAACTAAATGTTTGGGCACACAGTAGAAAGGCATTTTTAAACTTGAAGACTCTGCGAGTAACTAAGAATTGAATGAGTATTACTTGTCTATATAGAGGTAAAATGATTCGTTGATGGTTTTTAAGATAAGTGGGGAATTTGAGACAATTGGGGTAAATTGAGATACTTGAATAAAATGAGACAAATAGGGTAAATTGAGACATTTTTGATAATTTAGTCTCAAACGTCCCGCCATCATTTCTTCTCAACCCATGTACCCCCATCTGAAAGATTTTTTTCCATAAGAAATACATTGTTGGGGTAATTTGAGATTTTGGGTAATTTTAGTAATTTGGGGTAATCAGAGACACCAGGATAATCTATGGCACGGGGGTAAACTGAGATATTTGGGGCAATTTGAGAAGTCCCGCCATTATTTTTCGACACATGAAAATACATCTGAGACTTTGGTTACTATAAGCAGTCAGCATATCCTTGCAATACATACCCATGCTATAAAGGCCTTGTGGCGAGAAACCCTAACCGTCTTTTTCCCTCATAAGGCAATGTATGGTGGCGAGAACCCGTATTTTTTCCCGTAAGGAAAAGTATGTGGCGAGGAGCCCTCTTTTTCCTCATAAGAAGTGTGTGATGAGGACCCGTCTTTTTTCCCATAAGAAATAGAGTGGGCGAGAAATCCGTGGCTTCTCCCATAAGAAATAAAGTGGGTGAGAAATCCGTGGCTTCTCCCATAAGAAATAAAGCGGGCGAGAAATCTTTGGCTTCTCCCATAAGAAATAAAGTGGGTGAGAAATCTTTGGCTTCTCCCATAAGAAATAAAGTGGGTGAGAAATCTTTGGCTTCTCCCATAAGAAATAAAGCGGGCGAGAAATCTTTGGCTTCTCCCATAAGAAATAAAGCGGGCGAGAAATCCTTGGCGAGAAAACCTAGCCTAGGATTTCCCCATAAGAAATAAAGCGGGCGAGAAATCTTTGGCGAAAAAACCTAGCCAAGGATTTCCCCATAAGAAATAAAGCCGGCGAGAAATCTTTGGCGAAAAAACCTAGACACTTCTACTACTCCGTCATTGCATACATATACACAAAATTATCCATTTTTTTCGTCATCGCGTTATTCAAAAAACTATGCTTACCACCACAGATTCTTCAATAAGTTTCCGAGAAATCACATTTCGCATTTCAGAAACCAACCGTACTTACTTCGTTTACTCTTAAATATTTAAGTGAGCAATAGTATTTATGTGACTTTTTTTTAGGTTACATATTTTTGGAACAACGACAACAACAATTGACTAATTAATTTTTAACCGTAATCAGTATTATCTTTCTCCTGTAGTGGATACTTCCTTAAACGTTTGAATAATTAATTCTAGAGAAATAAATAATGAATTGCTTATTATGAACCACATTTAAATTTTTATCCTGGCAAAAAATCAGTCCAAAAATTAATAATTAGCAACGACAACAATTTAACAATAAATAAAGTGTCATTGCATTAAAGACAAGAATATAGAACACCTTATTTTCACAGGGTAATTAATTATTATAATTATTACTGGGATGAATAATTAAGTTACATACATAATCACTTAATTAGTCAAGTAATGAAATTTTCCTGTCTTTTTTTCTCAAGTATTCAATTCAGTTTTAAACTTAATCCATTTCTAGTAAATAAATAAATAATGATACAAAACTAGTTTCATCTTCAAAGGTCACAGAAATATGTCAAAAAATTAAGTCTTAAAAAAATATCGAGTCAATAATGAATAACAAAAAAAAAGAAATTGCTAATTCATAAATACAAAAAACTAAATACTAATCCACTAATTTTGGAATTAATTGGATGTAAACGTTTAATTAGGATTATTTGAGCTAAAATGGAACTAAACAATGAATATTTTCGCTTCTTCTTCGGTATTAATTAATTTTAATTGCGATTATTAAGCCACTAATTTACTTGCTGCGTGTGAGTTAGTAAAAATCTTCTGTTCTGCATGTGTCATTCTTCGTTAGTAAGTACTAAGTATTGCGTTCAATTAGTGAACTTTTTTTCACGCATTGTTTTCCCCTGCCCCCATTTTCCTGTCGAGATCTTTGAGGATGCTTGGCGTCGGACTGGCGCTGTTTCCTCTGTGTCCTTCTTCACAACTGCTGTTGCTGCGTCCACTGCTGCGACTGGCGGAAATGTCCCGAGTCGACTCTTCGTACCGGGCTTGATGGCGTTGATAGATTGGGGCGAGGATGAAAAAGTTGGAGATGAAGATCCCACCCCCAGCGATCCAAAATGACCAGGCGTACTTTCCCGTGTAGTCGTAGAGGAGGCCTGCACAGGGAGAAATGAGGGGTTAGCACCAGTCACAAATTCTAGTCAAATTTATGAAGAAATGAATGTAAAATACCAGCAATGGGTGGTCCGATCAGGTTTCCGATCCCTTGCACAAGTAGGAGAAGACCGTACGCGGGGGTAAACTTTTCCAAACTGACGACCTAAACGTTAAGCAGGTAATTATTAGTTATCATTCACTTTCACTAATTAATTACGTGTGGCTATAATTTTTCTCTCGTTACTTGAAGTAGGATGACGGGTGTGAGTGAGTAATTTGCCGCAATCATCAAGCCAAACACGCCGCAGAGCAAGACGAGGAAGTAGTAGGTGAGCCCCATGCTGAACAACTTCCCAAAGAGGCAGGGCATCAGGCCTGTCACGATGCCGCAAATGGAAATACACAGGCCATAAATCGTCACGGAATTTGCCCACTTCTTGTCCCCCAAATACCCCAAAATTATCTGCAAAACGAAATCACAAATAAAAGTTGAATAATAATAATTAATACTTAATTTCCTAATTTAACGGATTAAATTTCTTTACATTTCCGAAAACGGTTAAAAGTCCGATCGCACTTCCCAACATGGCTCCTTCTCCTTCCGAGTAGCCCAAGCCGGTGGCAGTGTCGGCAAGAAAGGTCAATGGGATGTCATACCTGGGAGGGAGACAGGTAGAAATGTGCGTAAGTACTTATCACTATTCTACAAGACGCACTCTCCACCCATCACAATTTACTTACCACATGTACAAGAGAAAATTGGACATGATGAACAAAACGAATCTGGTATTTTTCAAGTGATCCAGGGCAAAGATTTCTTGCATCCAGACGTAAATATCCTGCAGGGCGGCTTTCCACTCCTAATTAATTACAATCACTCAATAATTCTCCTCAATTAAACTAATTAGAACAATAATTAACTAACCGGCGTATTATCATCCGCCGTGGCTACCGAAATGATATCCGGACATGACGTCGCAGGTCGGAGGGGGCGCATTCGGCTTCTCTTCAAATTCAGCACTGCGCCACGATACGTTAAAGAATTGCGATGATTCCCCCAATTCCTAGTTAGTCATTAGTAAAATAATTAATCAATCAACTAGCTAATTATTCACTAAACCTGGACCCACATACATACCTCGTATGCTGCACAAGATAATTTCTCATCGCCTGCTTCTCCAATGTGCTCATGTTTCCTGCTCCTCCGTTACAACTACTGTTTACGCCATTCTTCTCATTGTTTGGTGATGGCGACGGCGACGACGTCACTTCTCCTTTTCCATTAGTCTTATTACTACTCTGATTATTGCTGAATGGTTTTGTATTCATTTGTTGGAGATGAGAATTGAGATTGTTGTGGTGGTGAAGGTCACACAAGTTATTGACTGACTTCTTGACCTCCCCGTTGTTATTGGAATTATTGTTATTGTTCGCGGCGACGAGGAGGGGCGAGTCGCTTTCATTTTCCTCCATCATCATCATCATCTTGTCGTCTTTTATGATAGCTTGGCCCCCTTCGTCGTCTCCTTCCGCGACGCTGTCTTGCCCACCACTCTCACTTTTGTCTTCATTATTGAGATCATTGTTCTCTGCACGAGGTGGGACAGGGGCCGGGACGAGGAGAGGACCACCTCCAGAGGTGAAACCTCCGGCATAATTATTCGAATAGTAGCGAATCCTTTTTCCTCCTCCTCCTCCATTTTTGACGTAGTGGGGCGTGCTGTTGTTGTTCTTGAGACAAAGCTGTTCCGCTTCACGGACAAATGTGGGGATACAAACGGCAGAATTGCAAAGTCTTTCAGATTTCTGGAGTCCAATCAAGGCAGTTCCTCCTCCTCCTCCTTCAGGGATGGAGTACATTCCACCCCCTGCTCCGTTCAGGCTAGGTCAACAAAGATCAGGATGATTAAGATATCTTCAAATTATGTTAGTAATCAATAAAGGTTATCAACCTACTTCAGTTGAGCCTGAGTATTAAAGTCGTGCTCATTCTGGAGAACCTTTTCCCTTTTTCGACTACTCTTCTTGGTCCATTCTAAGTCTTTCATGAGGATAGCACAGAAGCAAAGGCTGAAAAAACATCCGGCGTCCAATAACAAGGTCACCCTCCAGCTGGTCGCTTCTGCAAGTCACGAAAATCATATATTAATTAATTAATTAGTAATTAATATTCTCAAATTGCGGACTCACCGATGAGATAGGAATTCAAGGGGCCAAAGATAAAGGTTCCAATCCCACCGCCACACACGGACAGGCCCGTCGCGAGTGAGCGTCTCTTATCAAAATAATAGGCCACTATCACAACCGCCGCCACGTAGCACAGCGACAACCCAAATCCAGTGATCACTCCGAACGTCAACATGAGCATGTGAATTGAAGCTGCAATTGTAAAGCAAGAGTTAATTAATTAGTCAATTAATTACTTATAATAATTTACTTGTAAAATGTGTAAAAATTTCGAAAAATTGGATAAAATGTCAGTTAAACTGAACTACCGAGTTATTTTGTACGTATTTTAAAAGTTCAATTATAACATGAAATTTTCACTAGTTTCACCAGGGAAAAAACTTTAATCAATCATGTAAATAAATCAGAACTTACTCGCATAATACGACAAGATAAATCCAAGCGTAGCCAGAATTCCACCCACAATGGTGCAATTCCTACAACCATATCGATCCGTGAGGGTGGACGCGACGGGGCCTGACAGCAAGGGCATCGACGCCAAAAGACTGCCAGCCCAGGTCGTCGTGCTTTTCGACGTCCCAAACTCCTTCTGGATTATGGGGAGGAACACGCCGTAGGAAAACGTGACCCCGTCAGCGATCAGATTTATGAAAAAGGCTACAGCAACAACCACCCAACTAGACAAAGAGAAAGTTAAGTTAGGTCAATAATAATTCTGATGACCAACTTCTTATCTTATAGCTTACCCATATCCACCATCGGGCGCTTCCCTCTCTAACGTGGACGACACATCGGACGAGCTCTCGTCAATGTTGTCCGACGTGTGGCGCAACCTCTTGATCGAATTTGGGTTGGAAGTCGGTGGATGGTGGGAGTGGTGGCTGAATTAATAAATACATATAAATATTTACCATATGCAATTATTCATTATTAAATCATGATTTCTATAATGACTTACTTCATAATTTGATGTCGTGGATTGCTGCTCAGCTCTGTAAAACTTTCTTCCATTATGCGCAATTCTTCTTCAAGCCAAATGTATTTTTTAAAGATGATCTCTCGACGAAAGTTGGCCTCGTCGCCAGCATTATCTGCAAAAACAAGGAGGCACCCATAAGGAAATTAAACATGATTCCTCTCTCACTTTTAACTATTCTTAAACTCAAGTAGTTTATACTAATTTACACACAAATACACAACTACCTTTTCAAAGAAGAACAATTCGATTTTAAAATTATTTAGTTCCTTTCTATTTTCAAGTTTTTCAAAATGTGTCCATCTTGGAGAAATGCGATAGCAGCAAAATGTGATAAAAATGGATGGCTTCGCTCCGTGTAGGCGTGTGTTGGTGTGGTGGAACGAGGACAATCATAAATTGATGCTGGATTAATTAGCCGGTCAAATTCGCAGTACAAAACCATACTCGAATGACACAAAAAAGAACAAGAACAAAGGACAGGGACTACCACCACGCCCCTCAAATAAGGTCCGATTTACAACTTTCCTGACCAAAACACTTTCAAAATAGCAGGTCGATTTCCAAGAAAAGTTTTACTTCACAATATCTGAAACTGAAACACAAGTAACTTTTCTCTCCCAGAACAAAGAACAATTACCACGCCCCCTTCTCGAGCACTTGCAATGATGTCCAGTCTACAACCTTGGCACTCGAAAATACTTTCAAAATATGGTTCAAGTTGAATTTCCAAAAAATCTGACAGTAACTTTTCCTTCCGGCTTAATTTTGTCCTTCTTTGTTCTCTCCGAGTGATAAACTGCAACTAAACTTTTGTGTGCTGAGCTACCCACTAACAACTAACTGACTAATAAACCGACTCGCTGTGCATGTATCCTACCTTTACTGAAAGTAAAGTAGACCGACAGAAGAATGGAGACGCCAAATAAGTACAAGCAAGCAGAGGAAATAAATAAGTAGGAACAAGAAGCGTGTGCCTGTGCAGGTAAAAGAATTTCTGGAAAGAACAAGAAATGCAGTAATCTCAAGTTGAGATTCTCAGCTTCCTCTCTGCAAAGATAAGCCGACCAAGAAGGATTAGACTACTTAATTCATACAGATAACAACCTGTCAAGAACTTTGCTAAATAATGCTCAATGAAATTTTTCTATAAATTATTTAGTTCAATCTTTAAGTAATTCATTTCATGGCAGTCCCTGTAATTCTAATTCTTTAAACACAACATCAAAGATATAGGCATCTCGAGTGCAAAACTAAATATTCAAAATTTTATTAATGGCGTTAAAATTGGAAGAAAATTCACATGAAAAACTGGGAGCATTAGATCAAGATTACTATTTGTATTTAATTTATAAATGGATGAGCAAAAACATTTAAATCAATGGAATTCTTGTATAAATTAGTGCAAGCAGTAAATAATGGTAATCTTTATAAGTCATTATTAATTCTGAAGAAGGTGACTCTGTTAAATTCTCGTCCGTGTAAATGCCATACAAAATTTCATTCACGGCGTCAAATTGAGAGAGAAAAAGATCCATACCAAAAATTCTATACATTCCGAATTACAAGAAGATCTCCTTATTCGACTGGATTTTTCTCCCAGTTTAATTTTTCAGGATTCACTTGTTTCTCAAATTTGGCACAAAATTTGCACAATTTTATTAAACTTCATAGCTCACACTGTTAAATTTTAGGAAAACTTTGAAATAAAATTGTATTTTATTTCGCGATCATGTGAAAACGGGGCAGAATTATATTGGCAAATTTGGCGAACCATATAACCCCCCATAAAATTCTCTGAACTAAATTATTGGTCACATTGACTGCAGAGTTCCATTCAAAAAGAACGACGGAATGAGCCCAAGTCGTAGAGGAACAAAGACGAGACAAAACAAATGCAGTCTCGTTCCTTTCAATTCAATTCTTCTCAGTAATTAGTTTACTCGACACAAATATATAATGGTTAAATTAAAATTGTTTACCAACATAATAATTCATGGATTGGATTCAAAGACAAATTGAATTTTGTTATGAAGGAAGTCTTTCATCCACTCCTCCGTCGGACTGACTTGACGACGCCAAAAAGAAGACCAAAAGTTGGAACAAATCCACAACTATGAAGAGACAGAATGGCTGCGTATGACAAGAATGGATAAGTCTTTTCTTATCGTCGTATATATGAAATAAGTACATTTTTTGACGAGGAGCAAATGCCCTTGGGTCGAAGAGGGGTCATCGTTGGTCATCCACACCCCACCACGTGAGATAACTAATCTGGATTAATTGCTTCCTTGTCCCTAAACCGACCTTCCTGACCACTCCAAAATCTCACTTGTACATATGCCCCATTATGCACTTTGAACAGCAATTACTTTGTTCAGAGATAGCAAAGTGAGGAATTTTGCATTAAAAAAGATGCACTGCACAGCTTTGCAACTAGCTTTATTTATGGACTATTCAGCATAATGTACATAATAAGACACCCACCACGTGAGGTTATCACCCTGTCCAAGCCTGTAACTAATTATATGTCACACTCCCCACAACTTTACAGATTTTGCATGCATATTTTTGCATAAAACCACAACATGCATAATTCGCATATATGCAGTATCCAATCCACTCACCAAACTGCCAATCCAAAACTAATTCTCTTTCTGGATAATATTCATCGTTAGTACCTGGTTCATTGATGAAATCAAGTTCGTCTAACTAACACGAAGGTCTGAAACTGAATATGAATATTATGCAAATCTATACCTGCAGAAAGTTGGCTGATGCTCCTACTAGTTCACGGTCAGGGTCAGAAGAGGCGGAAACACTATTCCTCAAATTCACTAAATTCCAGCTTGTCACTTGACGTTGAAACATGACAGGTAACAAATTATGGACAAAACGCATGCAACAAAGTGGCTGTCCAACTCATCAACATTTCCCCTCATATTTAAGCATGTGCATAACAAATTCGCAATAATTCAGCGACTCGCATTGTCCGCAAATCGTGAATGCCAGAAAGGAACATTTATTTGTTTTATGTAATTAGTAAATGGTCACTTTTTAATTGATTCAATTCCAATTATGAGACATGCATCAAGGGCAAAGTTTAATGGGGCATGGTTAACTAAGTAAATAATTAAACAAGAGCGATTTTTTTAATCTGCGTTACACAAGCCGAGTTCTTGGCAGGTCATCTATTTCGGGGTGTCTTTAGTCATGTCAGTCGTCACTTTTTTTGGTCGTCGTCATGTGTCATACGTACTTATGCACATATCAGCCTACTAGCCAAGAACTCGGCTCAATAATAATAATATCAACTCGTAGGTCAATCTCACTCAATCAATGGACGAATCTCTTATCAATTAACCGTCTCGTCGTCTGCCATCCCATCAAATTCACTCTTTTCATTCAAAAAATTGCAAAAAACGTGCCATTCATTCCCAACTCGATTATTTGCAGCGAATAACAATTTGCAAAAATATACAATGCAAAATGCCAACCAATATGTCAAAAAATCTGCAAATTTTTCACCTATTTATAAAATTCCAACGATAGAGAATTTTTGAAATAAGTAAATTTCTTCTTACCTATTTACAAATTGTCCTTGTCACAAAATTATCCAGCCTCGTTCGTAGGAGCAACTTCGTTGTTATTGCAATTTTTAGTTTGATTATAAATATATTTAGTTTTATCACTGTTTAATTTTTTTTGAATATTCGGAATTATTTCACTTTAATTTTGTAAATTAAAATTATAAGTTTTTAAATTTGATTAAGTCTTCCCAACTTCTGATATCGTTTAACAAGCAGGTACTTTATTTGCATGAAAGCTTACAATTTTTTTTCCTGGGGAGATATCCTTCCGTTAAAATTTAGATATTTAATTTTCTCGTAATTTTAATTTTCTTTCGATTAGAATACGTCTGGAATTTAATTTATCAATTTCTTCTGAATAATTAATTACCCTTTTAATCGTAATATTTGGGTCGAATCTGGTCTAAAATTTGCATATATTTTTAACCTGCAACTATTATTATGTCGCAATTTTGCCCCCTCCACAAACGGTTTCAATTTGTATGAAGATTTTTCCCTTGTTTCGAAATTTTTATTCATTCCAATTTTTCCAAATTTGCACACTTTATAACGGAATAATTCGCCAAATAATATTCGCCAATTTTGTAAGCTCCACCACCAAAAAATAAGACTCCTCCCCCCTCGCAAAATTAAAACTCGTCCTCCTCACTCATTCTGATTTCTTGAAGAGATAAAATACGTATCTTTTCACAAAATTATCCTACACTATTTTTGCCAAAAAGTTTGCGAATTGCGAATCCGTGCCTCACAAAACAAAGAAAGAACTGACTGATGCAATGAAAGAAAGAGAGATTTGGCGTAAGTATGTAAGTATGTAAATCTTAAATTAGAACTTGACTATATTTCGTCAACCTCTCGCCTCTTTGGTGGTGGGACTGGCTTATCGTCCCCACCTTATCCTATGATAATAGTGACGTTATCAACATGCATATTTCGTGTGTCGTGTGCCTTGGCTACAGAAAAAGTAGTAAGTATCTGTCTTGGCTTGTCTACTAGGGCGAGGAGTTTCTTCGGGTTTGTGGTGGTGTGGACGAGGAGCGTGTCTCACTTATCATCCTGCAGTGGTGTCAGTACGAGAGCTGTGTGCTCGAGAAGAATGGGACCATGGCCAAGGCAGAAGAAGACTTAACAACCAACAAATTCCTCAATCATATCGTCATGATCATTTATTTTTTATTATGTTCTCCTCAACCACCCCTCTTTCCTTAGCTTCTTTCCTGACAAATCCTGGCACACAAAATAAATAATTCCTCAAAAAAGTTTCCACGAAATAATAAATAAGAACAAATGAATACGCTCTTTTACACGACGAGTTAAATTTAATCTGAACTAGCAAATCTAAATTTTATTTTGTTTTTAAACACTTTTTCGAACTTCTTGTTAGTCGTAACGGCGTCCAAGTTGCGCAGATTACAAAAAATGTACTTTCTTCCTCTTTAAATTCGCAATGTTTTGGGTGATGATAACTTTGAAATGAAAATGGGGACAGGAAAGTATTCAGATTTCTCTCGCCCACTAAATATTTTGAAGGTTTCTTTTGGTAAATATTTTTTGTCTGTTGTGTTACCCGATATATTCTCGGAAAGATCAAGGTAAACAAGGAGAAGGAGAAGAAGGAGTCAGTTGACTTTTCCGTCCTCCTACTTTCGCAATGTAGTCACTTTCTCTGTGTTGGCACAGAGTATAAGAACCCACCCGGATCCGACTTTTCGAGTTCCGAACGTGGAATAGCTAATACCTTATTACGTACGTACATGCTCCTCTCTCTCTCCGTTCTGCACAAACAAAACCCGGGTGGGTTATGTGCTCAGGCTTTTTTTTGCGAATTCGGGTTGGGAGACGGGAGTACATACGCTATGGAATATTGCTTGGTTGCAACAAAGTCAAGTGCAGTGCAGTCAAGGAGGAGGAGGAGGAGGAAAATGCAGTAGTTTTGTGGCCGGTCGGAGAAAGAAAGAAAGACTGCAGAGCATCTCTCTCCATTTTGCGGAAGAGAAAGCAAACCTGATTTTCGAGATGACCAAGGTCGACGTGTTTTTCGTCTTCTTTGGACACGTGCAGGACTAATTCGGCAAAACATGGCTTTCTCCACGTTTCCTGCTGGAAATGAAATGAGATGATAAAAATATGCACAATTTGACAAGTATATCCGAAGATCAGGTCGGGTCGGGTCAGGTCAGGGAATAACGCCCACCAACAAACTCATCACGATAAAACAATGTTATCAATGAAAGAATAATTTTTACGGGGAGCAAATTATTTAGTTTATGACCATATTTGAGCTGTCATATTTCATCATTAATCAGACTCAAATTCACCTTTGTTTGCGAATTTCCATTCGGAAGTTATTTTTTTTTGTGACAAACTTACAATTAAGGTAAATCAGTTTAAATGAAATATTTAGTTCTGTGCGATATTTTGCTCTCGTGAGATTTTGTGACATTTAATTACGGAGCAATTAAATTAGGGAAATAATTTTTATTTCTAAATGTATAATTGGCCCTTTGCCCTCTGTGTTTCCCCTCTCGTCAACAATCTACCTGTTTACCTGTCAAGTCTGATTTACAAGTTATGAATGGTCAGGATCGCGTCATTGTTTTTGGATAAATTTTCAGACAGCCCACCCACGCATTTTTTCCCAAATTTATTTAATTATCCTCCTCCGATAGCTGCATTTTTTAAAGCATTTTTAAAATTGCATGCAAACTGCATACAATCGACATGCAAGAATATTTACGGTTCAGCAATTAAGCAAATCTCTGCCGTATAAAAGCATCCGGATTTTGTCCTCTTTCCACTCATCTCTTCGACCCCTCTGAAATATTTAAATCATCAGTTTCCACACAATCATGGCTCCTCATTTCGCCCTCCTTCTCGTCATCGCCGTCGTCACAAATCTTATTCCACAAGTAAGAAAACTTTTATTTGCTAAAATTTCGCTAAAAATGAGTGGAAAATTGACAAGTTTTTTTATACTTTTATTTCGTCCAGAGTAAAAGTGAACACCCGAAATTTGAAGAGTGTAAAAAGGCGAGTGAGCGATATTTCAAGGCGAGCCACAAGAATACGATGGCCTGTCACGCCGATCTCAAAGACGACACGCACTCCCTTGAAGAAAAATTCGATAAATTTGGCGTAACTAAAAATATTGCAAATATATTCGCAAATAAAAAATGGATTTAACCCCAATTTCCTTCCAGTGCACTGTACGATGCATCTTGCAAAAGGATAAAATGGTAAAAAAAATTGTACAAATTTTTTCAAAATTCTAAAAATAAATGACCAAAAATGCACAGCTTGACGACAATGAAGCCGTGACGGAGGAATTTTTAAAGTCGAATTACAAGGGCAGAGTAATTTCCGAATTTGATGAGAAACTCCTCTCACATTTTCTCGAGTGCAAAACCAAATTTGGTAAATAGATAATTTGCGAATATAAATATAAATTCGGAGAGGAAAGATGGCTAAATTATTCACGAAATTGAAAATTGATCCAACCAAACTATTGATTTATATTTTGTCAGGGGATAAACTGGACAAAGCGGATCCGAACTGCAAATCATATCGCGATTACGGGCTTTGCATGCAAGAGTCCATTTCTCATGTGAGTATAAATATATACATTGATGGATGGATTGGCAAAATTGTGCAGAATTGACGACGCCCTGCCATTTATTTACATATCTGTCTTGTATGTTTGACAGGTTTGCTATGAAAATCCATAATGATGAAGAATCACCCAAATGCAAATTCACTTATTAATCACTTAATTTCGCACTTGTCGTGAACACGGATTGGTAAAAAATTATCATCAAAATTATTTATGCTCGATGCAAAAAAATTGTTGAAATATATTAGGCTGGTGAGAATAATTATGTTTTGAAAATAAATGTGGAAAAATCATTTCTAAAAGTTAGCGTGGGTACGTGGTAAAATTTATTTTGGTGGCTCATTAATTTACATGTACAAATTTATGCATGCCATGAAAATTGTGGCGAGGATAGACGAACTTCTGCACATGCAAATTGTAATTGTTGGCCATTCTCTTCCCTATTGGAATCTGGAAATGTGACTGTGACGCGACGCTGTTATGGACACCGCTTAATGAAAGTGATGATTCCAAAATTTGTGCACTTATTTTTAAACACCGTCTTGCATGAAATGGATTTTTGTGAAGTCATGACCATTTATCAATTTCCCACCCTTGATTTTGGCCTCACTTTCATCTCCGCGATAAGCCACGCTCATCGTCATCACACACAATGATCATCCCCTGTCACGTGCACTTGGTCCTCCTCCTTTTCGCCACAATTCTCCACGTTTCGTTCGGTAAGCAGGCAACATAAATCAACTTCCGGTTAAAATTGTCCACCTACAAACTGAAACTGCATCGGATTTGTTCTCCTCAGGATTGCGGTGTTTTAATTGCACTTCGGAAAAGACTTGTCCCGACGCCAAGCGAGCCCCGGTTGAAACTTGTACACAGCCAGGTGCACATCTCATTTGCATAATTCACGCCATGTCAACAATTAAACTAAATTAAGTCCCGCAGACCCGGTGTGTCTCTCGTTCGAGGGTCACCAGCGGCCGAGCGGGTGCATTCCGAGGACAGGTTGGGGCGACCACGACAAGTTCACGGCAGGCGCTCACAAGTGCATCTCCTGGATGATGATCAATCGCTGCACCTGCGACTACGACCTTTGCAACGGCTCGGAGAATCCGCTGACACCCTTCGGCGTCCTCCTCGGCGTCACCCTCGTCGTGATGAGGTTCGTCGTCCACGCGTATTTCTGGGATTAAATAAATGTCATCATGGGTTTTGTGGTTAAATTGGGCACGTTCAAGCTCTTGTAATAATTTCTTATATTTATTATAATTATTATATATTATAATTACTTATAATAATAGGTTAAATTTCTTAATAAACAAGTGAGTGAAGTTTAATCTCGTACTTGTTTCACGTCTTTATCTTCTTCTGTGTTTGGCATTAATTAATTGGGAGGAATGATCTGGTCGAAAAATGCGACAAGTTTTTGGTCCCTTTATGACATGAAATGATGAGATTTTTTAAACTTCTCAAAAACATTTTGTAATTTATTTGCTATTTCCATTTTAATTTGCGTTCGAATTTTTGTAGATTACAAAATATTGAGCGTACTCACGTCAACCTTCGCATATCTCGCATATCTCGCAAATTGAACATAGCAACATAACTTGTGAAGTTTTGCGAGATTTCGCAAAAAATTTGCTGGAAAACCATGGGATTTTTTTTCGCAAATTTACCCAGCAATTGAGCATGTCCTTATTTCGCAAAATTATTTCGCAAAGTAATTCTGCAAGAGAAATTACAGAAATCCATGGAAACAATACCAAAATAGGTGTTTTTCTGTAGATTTGCGAGATAAGGGAGTTTTGCGAAGTCATATTTTGTGAATCCCCTCACGACAGAAATATTTTGATCTTCGCAAATTTGCTAAATGAGTTGCGATGCGAAATAAGAAGTTGTCGTGAGTACGCCCATTAATGTAGTCATTGGGTGCAATTTTTACTAAATTGGCGAGAAAGTTTGACAATAAAAAGAATTTACAATTTCGATAAATATGACCCGAAAACTGCTGATATTTGATTGAATCCTGACCAACCTGCTTTTGTACAAGATTGGAAATAATGGAAGAAATTGTGCCACAAAATGTCGACCTTATGAATCTTGACGATGTGTTGGGCGAGTACAAGTGTCGAATTTGCGACCTCTTCATGATCCAGGTTTATTTTTGCACATTATGCAAAAATAATTGCACAAATTTTCACCCCTTGATTATTAATCTACAGGCCAAACTGCTCAACTGTGGTCATAAATTTTGCACGTACTGCCTCCACCTCATCCAACCCGTGAGCGGAAGGTGCCCCACGTGCTCGACGCGAATAACGACGGCCCTCCGCGTGAGACAGGTCGACGCCGAGGTCGCCGCCATCGTCACCTCACTCTCGGACGAAGCCCAGTACAAATTTCTAGCCGAAAAGGTCAAACGAAAATTGGTGCTGAAAGGAGAAGAAGAGGAAAATGCGTCGTCAAGATCAAGTTTTTTGGCGACGGAAAGGAATGAATCCGCACTCGCGATGGACAAAATCTGTGCCCTCTTAGAAATGCCAAATCCAATCCGAAATTCGGCCACTTCGTTTCTCCCGAACGTTAAGGATGACGGGAAGAACAACAAGCGACAAAATTTTGGTGGGGTAAAAGTCATGGAAAACTTATGTCCGGCTAAATCCGCTCGTGGTCTAACGACCACCGGAAGTAGAGTAAATTTCGTGACCCCGAAATCCGCCCGAGGAGGTGGATCGATTCATCTCCCGGAAATTGGAGGAGGTCAAAAAACGCCACGTGCCGTACGCCCCAGGACGAGCAGAGGTCACCCGAGCGAAAGTCGAGGTGACCTCTTCGTGACCCCGTGCTCTCCCGTCTTTATTGACGACTCCACGGAACAAGACCTGCTTCGAGTCTACGTCTGCCTATCTGCACAGCGTGACGTGGCCGATTGTGACGACGAGGTCGGCGGCGGTGGCGGTGGTGACGACGTGTACCAAATAAGTGAGGCTGATCAGTCCGACTACGTGGCGATGGCGGAGGACATGGCGGGGCTGGTTCAACTTGACCAATTCGTGGACCATTGGTCCGTCCAGAGTCGGATTCCAGAAGAGTTTGAGTCTGGTTCCTTGTCGGGGATGGAAATGAGTCTCCTGGGGTCAGATTTGTGCCAGGGGATTAAATCTTTAAGGGAGCGAGCGAGGCAGAAACTCCCGAATTCTTTGTCGACACCCCGAGGAAAATGTAAACCCCTGGAATTGGAGGAGTGGGGATTGGAGAACTTATTTCGCACTGGTCACGATGACAAGTTGCAGCGTGAGGATGACAAGTTGGTCGTGTTGATGGAGTACGACGCGGCGTTGGAAGGTTTGAGGGGACGGGTGGACCTTGGGACGGAGGAGGAGATGGACGTTGGGATGATGATGCGAGGGGACGGGTTGGGAAGTGTGAGTGCGAGAAGTGGGGGGCAGAGGTCGGCGAGATTGTGGGCTTCGGAGGATCGGAGGAGGGAAGAAACGAGGAGAAAGTGTAAGTCAGCCAGAGTTCGGGAGGCGACGACGACGACGACGATGACGACACCTTTCCAGACTCCTCTCGACCTAGCGTTTCGTCAGGTTAAACCTCTTGCAAACTTTGGAGGAGGAAACGTTGCTAATTTTGGCAAGAAATTGGCAGATAAGTGTAAAAGTGGTCGTCCTAGTACGAGTGGTGGTGGTGGTGGTGTGATAAGAAAGACATGAAATTACGAAATAAAAAATATTAAATTATCACGATTTGACTGCCCTCTTCTTCGAAGTGAATAGATTAATTTGAATTCAGAAATGAAATGATACGTATCAGATTCGATATAAAAATTGAGATCAAAATTTAAATACCCAATTGAATTAAAGTCTCACGTATATATTCATCGAATTGAGTGCTGATAAAGCATTTAACACACAATTTTGACGGCGTGGTATATTTGATCAATTAAAAAGTATGTAAAATTCTGCAGAAGTAATAAGAATAATTTAAGAAGAAATCAACTCATTTAGCAAAAAATGTAGTGCCTGCGAAAAGCTCATTTTGCATGTCGTACATAGTTTACTAAATATTTTTCCGTGTTGAAAGTGGGATTGACCCTGCTCAATATTTGCTCCTATGATGATCCCTTATCCGCAACAACCCTTCTTCATCGCATCCTTTCCCGACGACTTTGAAATGTTCATAATTATGGTAAAATTCTGGAATTAATTCAAGAAATAAGAAACACTTTGACAATTGTACGTAAAAAAATTAATTTTGCGTGCTATTTTGTATTTACTCACCTCCGCCGAGGTCGGATGAATCCCAATGGTTGCATTTAAGTCGTTTTTCTTCATCCCGAGTCGAATGGCAACAGCGAACCCTTGAACCACCTCCCCCGCATTGTAACCTATGAAATGCAGCCCCACGACGCGTTCCTGTACATAAACAAACAATGGTAAATTAGCGCCATGTCCTGAATTAATTGCACTATTTACTACGCACCTTTTCGCTCTTGCGACACACCACTTTTGCGTATCCCTTGTTCAAATCACTCGCTGGCAGTTGTGATTCGAAGGGTTGGAAATAAGTGTGATAAACTTCGATGTCATCCTTTCCAAATTTTTTTATGGCGTCCTCTTCAGAAAATCCGACGAATGCGTATTCCATCGGAGTGAATACGGTCGTCGGACAGTTGACGTAGTCCGTCAGCGTGGTCGATTTTCCAAATAATCGCTAAATTTTAAAAAATACGGTGAAAATGTCATTCTAAAAATTTTCGATTGCAAATTTTTTGCTTACTCTGGCAAGCAATAGGCCAGCTTGAATGGCGGCCGGAGTGAGTTCCGGTCTGCCCTTGGTGCAGTCACCGATGGCGTAAATGTTGGGAACGCTGGTTTGATCCGATTCGTTGGCGAGGACGAATCCCGACTCGTCCACTTTGACTCCGACGGGACCCAATTTTAACCCGGGCGTGATGGGAAGTCTCCCCGTGGCGAACATGACGGTGTTAAACTCTTCCTCCACGACGGACCCAGCGCCGGATGTGGGTTTCGAGGAGACAATTAAAGTCCGCTGGTTGGAGGAGCCTGGTTTCCCTTCCTTCACGGAGACGGGGACACGACCCACTTGGAATTTTACGTGACACTCGTCCTCCATATATTTCCCGACCAGGTCGGCCATTTGTTGGTCGAAACCGCGCAACAGGATAGATCGGACCTGTGAAAAGGATACGTTTTAAGACATTTTGGCACAAAAATGAACTAAATCCTTTAAATTCACCATAATTGTGGTATCGATTCCCAACCCTTGAAGAAATCCGGCCGTCTCCAATGCAATGTAGGAACCACCAACGACCAGCGTTTTTCCGGGGTGATTCTGCAGTGAGAAGATGTCGTCGGAGGATAAGCAGTACTGTTTCGCACCTGGGACGTCTTCCGGATAGTGGGGACGACCACCCACGGCAATTAATATGTTGGAGGCTGTATGAATGGAAATTTTCCCCTGTTTTGTCGTCGCTTTGATAGTGTTGGCATCGACAAATTCGCCCAAACCGTTGATATATGTGACGTTAGAGTCCCTGAGGGCGACCCGGTAGGTCCAATTGGTCCCTTTAATACGATCCTGGACATTTTGGACGAGTGCGGGCCAGTCGACGGATTCTGGAAATTAATAAATTATGAAAATCAGGTCATAATTAATTATTTATTTAATTAATTAGATTAGTACTTGACTTTGACGTATCCACACTCGTCCACCCGTAGGAACTGGCGTCCGATATATTTTTACCGACAAGTGATGCTGCAAATTAAATTTTCAAATTGAAACCTTCAATTAATATATACACTCAAAAATGCTGATAATTTAGTTCGTCTGTCCATACCGACATGCATCATCTTCTTAGGAATGCATCCAACGTTCACACACGTTCCCCCCAACCCCCACGTCGTCCCCTGTGGCGACTCAGGTACAAAGTCCAAAAGCGCAACTTTTGCTCCCAGAGCGGCCGCTTCCTGTCAATCGGATAATAAATGAATAATTAAATTAAAGGTCAGGTCAGAGAAACTAATTTATTAACTACCGAGTGTCCTGATGTATTACATACCTTGGATGCCGCCAACCCTCCCGACCCTCCTCCAATCACGATAAGATCGTAGTCATACTTTGACCCCTTTGTTGGCGATGGCGATGCCGATGACGACATAGTGGATTTGGTGACAACTAGTAATTTTTGTTGAGCCTGAAGAAGGGGGGTTAGGTTACAGGTGGTGGTGGTGCTACTGGTAAGGATAAGTTTACTGCTAAAGGTACTGAATTGACGAAACAGCAACATCAATCAACAATGCGGCCAACTAAACAAAGTGAGATGACAAAAAATACAACCACCCAAATTTATGCAATTCTCCGCTATGAGTAAAATGATCTCGGGAAAGGCTAGATTCCTTCCTCGCCTTTGCTGGAACTGGAACTCTCTAACTGATGAAATAACAACGAGTTTTATGCAACTTTTTCCATCAAAATTTCATCAGCTAAAATTGACGAAGGATTTTATTTCAAATATGTATCTCCATATTTCATTTTTATGGACCGAATTTGGTTGCTGAATCTGAAAAACAGGTCAAAATTGTTGCCCCCCACAACTTGTACCATCCCTCATCGAATCTCACCGTCTCAAGAATCTCGAAACTCTCACTCTTTTACAATCATCATGCATCAATTTTTTAAAGAAATCCACCAATTGCTGAGCTTTTTAGCTTCCCAAAAAGTTTTGAGAAAATTGCATGACACGAAAAAAAAGGATATGATACGCATCACGAGACGAATCTTAATTGCAACACGATAAGTTCAAACTGATGTTAATCATTATATGAGACACAATAAACAAAGAGACGACAAATATTATGCACATTTACATAAATACGTATAATAATTTATTACAAACCCTGCACATTTTGTTTTTCATTTTGAGAGATAAATATTTCAGACCTTAATTCTTGGATATGTTTTGGTCATTTGTTTGGAAAACCCCTACGACTGGGCAGCCTTTAAGGTCTGCGTGAGGTTGTAGTGTTCCTCCTTGATGTCGACGTCCCCCCAACCCCACGCCCCACCCCCGCCACCACCTTCGTCATGGTCATGCCCCCCGCATCATCCCCCGTCCTCCTCACCCGCGCCATGACCACCTCATGTGGCACCGTCTTCAAATCGTACGCCAACCCAAAGTAGGCGCACAGGTCGATAAACGCGCACGACCAGTTGAGCCCGTACGCACCTGGAAGTCAAAATAAGGTCATAGGCACGAAAGGTCAAAGGTTATCGTGTAAAGGACTCACCCAACTCGGCCGCCTTGTAATCTTGAGGATACACGTGGTGATAGTTATGCTTTTCGGGGTTATCAGAAGGATAAGCATCATTAAATTGGATAAATTATGATGGGCTTATTATTGGCTAGTTACCCATCCTTCTCCAATGGCGAGCAGGGCGACGAGCTTGTTTTCTCTGGCGAAAATCCTCCTGTAGAAAACAGAACGAAAGAAATTAAACTAATTTGAAAAAAATAAAATGTGTCAACGGTTTGGGAAACATGCCGTTCGAGTTTTTTGCGGAAAAAAATCAACCCAAACAAAAATTTGGATCATTTCAAAAGTAAGGTTACCTTTTTCCCAAATTCCAATTTTTATTAGGGTCTAAATCAAACTTTGACCTTAAATATTTGAGCTGGAAAACCTGCGGAGTTGATTTAATTTTCGAAAATCAAAATTTTTGTCCCCAAAAAATCTCGAGAGGCTTACATATTCTCAAACTAATGACACATGTTAAAACGACTATATGAAATCCGCACTACATTGCACCACGTTTCGACAAAAGAAGAAAATGGAGACGTACGTATCATATTTTTTATATCCGTAAAGATGCGCAGCGGAGTTGACGAGCCAGGTAAAGTGAAGCGTCGTCATGTAGCGAAACGAGTTGACGGCGAGGGCGTCGAGCAGACTCATCGTGGGAAAAAGGGACATCAGCGTCCAAATCGGGACAGCAAAAACGGCCAGGAACTCAAGGACGCGGTAGTGTCTGAAATATGTATAAAAAAAGGTGTAACAACAGCTTGTGACCTGAGTGACCTTCTCCTGACCTTGACTGGAACCTGACGATGGGGTCATTGTCGAGGTCAGAGAAGTCGAGACAGTGCTCCTTCTCCCTGACGGCGGGATCTTCTCTGACGAGGAGCCACCCCATGTGCGCGAACCAGAACCCACGCCGCGAGTTGTAAGGGTCCGCGGCCGTCTCGGTGTACTTGTGGTGCAGCCGGTGGTCCTTGGACCATTTGAAAATGCTGTGCTATTCGTTAAACGGGACCACGTGATTACTTCATTATCATAAAAAAATTAATTACTAATTTGCATACCTGGCCGGCGGCCGTTTGCGCCACGGCGAGAAATATTTGGAGAGGGAGTTTGGCTTTGAAGGTGCGGTGTGACCAGTAGCGGTGACACCCCACTGTGATCCCCACCCCCATAAAGTAACCCATCACAATGGCTGGAAATTATGCAAATTTTTAACACCATTTTGCACACATTTTTAACCATTTCTCAGCTCTGGGAATTTATTTTAAAATTCTGGACGACAAATTTGTAGCCAGCAAATTGATTAATTGAATGACGGTGAGTTTTTTTAACCCATTTTCGATGAGTTCCAATTTTTCTGGAGGTTTTTTAAACTTGAGATCTCCTCCTTCAAAAACTTTCAAAATCTGGAGTGCGTATTTTTTTAACTCCCTGCTCTACAAATTTGTCTTCCCGAATTTTAAAATAAATTCCCATGCAGAGCCGAGAAACGATTAAAAATGTGTCGATTCGAGTCCCATTTAGTTAATAATCATAAAATTAGCACGTCGTCACCCTAATAACTCACTTGGGTAGACGACCCCCCAGGGAACTCTGCCCCACAGGATGAGATAAATCCCGTAGAGTCCGAGAGCGTGGATCGGGGGGACCCAGATCCTATTCCACTGATGCATCTCTAGTCCGAAGGGGTGTGACGAGGTGCAATGGTACGAACGCTTCGGTGCAGCTGTGACACTGATGGATTTCCTGTCCTCCATTTTCCCTAAATTTCTGTATCTTTTCAAACTCTGAGTAAAAATCGCTCCCTATTTTTCGGCGAGAAATTAGTGGTGTGACTTGAACTGATTATTGTTGGCTTTTCCATGAGCTCCTTTTCCTTCCTGCTGTCACGACCAAGTGAGGCGAATTAACCCATCAGCGTCACCTGCACGCATGGTCACATGAATATTCTGTCGAGTCCAATCTCATCCTGAGGTCCAATCATGCCGCCCCCAACCAAAAGCCAATTTCATACCGCACACAAACACAAACGGCTAAAAACGAGATATAAATGAACAAATTGCTCTCAGCCAAGTTTAGACTGAAATAATAACAATGATCATAACTCGTTTTCAATCGTAAGTAATCATCCAACTTTTGCACGTTGTCAGTCAGACAGCGTACGTACATACGTTTATTCACGAAATGATAATTCTTCCATTCAGATCAAGGTGGACGGCATCCCGTCAACTATGTACAAAATCCTGTCGTCCGATTACATTATGCAACTACCAAGCCAAAAATGCATCCCTTCCGCTATGCAATTTTGCCAATACAAACATTTAAATTATTCTATCGTCGCTTTTAATCCGACTTAATCTTGGCTTTAGAGATATGTAATACGTTTAAAGAATTGGTGCATGGAGTTAAACTCCGCAAATCGCATGCCAATTTTTTGCAAAAAGGTACATATTTTGCTGCCTTATCTGCATAACTTACCTACCTTACGTCAACAAGTCACTTCCATTTTCCAACTTAACATTGACACCAAAAAAGAGGAGACTCGAATTAAATTCGCCAATTTGCCAAGGAAGGAAATTACTTTTTACCTCCTCATAAATAATAATCTACGCAAATTACGGTATTCTCTAGAGATAAAAAAATACGTATGGGAAATGCAAGGTTGGATTGCTACCTCTATTTACACATTTCTTCGCCAAATAAATAAATATTTTGCTCATAGCGAAAACAAAGGATTTTTGCGAAATTTTTCAGCACAATCAGGCTTGATCACGTCATTCATGGAATTTATGCGTAAACTTTTCCTTCTTCGATTCGTCTTTTCCATTCTGGTTAATAATGCGACAGCCGACTGCACATTAGTACGCATTGTCCTCTTAATTGTGCCCTATAAAAAATGGACAAGAATGCGTCCACCATTAATTAATTACCGCACTTCCGCTCTTTCTTGAAATGAAGATCCCAATTAAAGCCGTTTTAATGAATGATACGCACATCTTCCTCGCCACAAATTCTCGCAAATTTTTACACTATTTCGGCAAAAAAACACAAAGGTTTCGCACTCTTTTTCATCCTCCTATAGTTAAAGCCATTTTAATGAGTACGCAGTTCCTCCTCGTCATCAAATAAGCCAAAAAAATTTAATAGTCTCGCAAAAAAAATAGAACTTTTCTTCTCCTGACTCACAAGACAAGGAATAATTTAAAAGTATGAATTGAGACGGGCCTAGGCAGCTTTGGACTGTCGCAAGGTTTGGGTGACAGCGAGGTGTTTGAGGGGAATGTCGGGATCGCCCCATCCCCACGGGGGCAGGCGCGTCCCCTCATCGTCATCCTCACTCTCGCACTCCGCGTCCCCCTCGTCCTGGTTGCCGAGTAGCTCGTCGTGGAGCTTGACGTCGCCGGTTCTCTTGACCCTGGCGCGGACGACGTGGGGAGCCACGGTTTTGAGGTCGTACGCCATCCCCAGCGCTGCAAACGTGTCGATGAAGAGGGCCGACCAGTTGCGCCCGTAGGCACCTGAAAGTCAAAATAACGTCATATTGGCACGAAAGGTCAAAGGTTATCGTGTAAACGGCTCACCCAACTCGGCTGCCTTGTAATCTTGAGGATACACGTGGTGATAGTTATGCTTTCGGGGTTATCAGAATGATAAGCATCATTAGATTGGCTAAATGTTGATAAGTTTATTCTTAAGAATGGCTTGTTACCCATCCCTCCCCCACGGCCAGCAGGGCGACGAGACCGTTCTCGGAGGCGTAAATACCCCTTAAAGAAGGCAAGAAAAGGGTCAAATAAAGATGCCTGGGTAGAAAATAAATCGGAATTAGCATTGTGGGGGAGCTTACTTGTCGTACCTGCAGAAAAAGAATGTTTAAATGAATTATTTAGCTCTAAAACAAGCATGTTTTTTTTTATATAAATCACTCACGGTTTTGATCCCCAGAGGTGTGCCGCAGAGTTGACGAGCCTTTGAAATTGATACAAATTTTAGTACAGAATCGCAATATTGCAATAGAAAGAGTAGAAGCGATTAGAAGTGGATTAGAGGATTAGTGGATTAGAGGTAGCGATTAGTACTAGATTATTACCAAGTGATGTGGAGTGTGGAGATGTACATGGCGTAGTTGACGCAGACCAACTCGTACACCCCCAACGAGCCAAACACGCTATGAAATATCCAGATCGGAACAAGGTACATGCTCAGAACCAACAGCGGCCAGTAGTACCTGACAAAAAGGGTACAGTTTCATTTTTAAAATGTCACCATAATATATGCTATTCTATGTGCATACTTTGTCTGGAATCTGACGACGGGGTCATTGTCGAGGTCGGTGAGGTCAAGGGTGGCCTCCTTCTCTTGCACGGCAGGGTCCATCCGCTCCAACAACCATCCCACGTGGGCGAACCAAAAGCCACGAGATGCGTTGTGTGGGTCGGCCGAGGTTTCCGTGTACTTGTGATGAATCCTGTGGTCTCGACACCACTTGAAAATCGGGTACTGTACAGTTTTACAAATGGTAATTTATGTATTTTATGCAAATTTTTGGAGAATTTTGGATATATTTTCACCCACCTGCGCCGCCATGGTTTGAGCGTACATTAGCAAGACCTGGAGCGGAAAGGTGGCCTTGAAAGTTCTGTGCGCCCAATATCTGTGACACCCCACAGTGATCCCCATCCCGGCGAAGTAGCCCAGCGGAAAAACTGACAAAAATGGAAAACATTATCGTCTCTTAAATTTCCATGCAAATTTTTCATGAAAAAGTCTCACAAAGGGCGAGGACACTTCTGGGGACGGATCCCAGGGCGATCATGTACCAGCCGTGGAAGCCCAGAATGTGCGCGGTGGACAGCCAGATCCGGTTCCAGTGATGCATCTCCATGCCGAAGGGCCCTGTCATGGTGCACACGTAGGTTCGCCCCCCTCCCACCACACCCACGCGCTTCTCCTCAACCACATTGTTGTTGATGTTGGTGTTAGTCTCGCTACTTCTCCCCATTTTAGAACCAGGAGAACTTCCACTTCTTAATTAAATCAAGTAATCATGCAAATGGAACTAGTCCGAAATAAGCTTTTGACCTAAAAATTGACACGATTGGTTTTTATAAAAAAATTTTAGAATTGTTCTTACTAAATTTTATTTTATTTCGACGTGGAAAAATTACAAATTCAAACAATTGCAAATACAAACTTCCGGTTTACAAAATATATGTAAAAAAAAGTTACTTGCAAAGAGATACGTCACTACGATTCTGCATGAAAATCTCATACCCAGAGAATTTAATACCACAGCCACTACCCAATATAAATCGAAATTAAATTTTGCACATATTACTTCTTGCCCTAAAACTGTTTCGACGCGAAAAATTGCAACATTGGGTTAAAAATGTAAGGCTTGAGGGTAGAAAAGATTCACGTAAAAATTGTCCCTTAACACAGGACCACTCTGCAGCTTGATGGAAATGTGTGCGACCACAACCACAGCGTCCCTGCCCTTCGAGATGCTCTCCTCGCAGTGAAGTGATCTCAACTTGGGCATCTGAGCGATGGCAAAATCTCAGGAGTGATTCATCCCTTCCAGAAGAACGCGTACATACTTATTTATTTATCATGGTCGTAAATAGATCCACCGTTTCTTCACCTTCAGAAAGGAATATGTACCATCCTCGTCGTGACAGTCTCCTTTTTACGCGTTCCCTTGTGATGCATTGGTCGTATTTACCCACACATGACACGACACGACGTCCAATTCATACACCTTTTTTCCTGGTGGTTACAATGGCTCCATTTTAATTAGGAAACCATCGATGTTCCCAGCCACACGTATGCAGAAAGCTAAACATAGACGGAATATTCGGCCTCAGAGACAACGAAAATCTCAGGTAAGGTCCAATCTAGAAAACCTAGTCTTCAACGTCCCATAACGAATTTATGCGTGACAGTCTTTCCAGATTGGGTTGGCGAAATCCAGATTTTACGGAAATATGGGCAATTTTTAATCAACCAGCATTAAACATGACAAAGCAGTGGCATAAAAATTACGTGAAATTCACTAATAAATGGGACATTCATCATGGAAAAATTTCATAGATTGTTGTGCGTCATTTCATTAGCGGTGTTATTATTTTTTTTAAGTCTCTACTTTTGGACTTCAAGTCGAACAAAAGACCCGATTTTCACACAAGATCCCATCACTCCTTAATCAATTGCGGAAAAATCCCTTGTAAAAAGTACCTAAAATTTCACCAGAAATTATCTCAGCTATAAAATAAAATTAATGTGACGCGAAATCATCAGAATTAATCGTATCGTTTAAAGTAATTCAAGGTAAAATTCTCAAACAAAACTTAATTTGCAGAGTGACAAAAACAGTATTTTTCCGTACACAAACTTCCCCAGGAGTGGAAATTAAACAAACCAAATTGTTAGAGCAAATTGGTTGATAGGGAAAAAGTGTCCCGTCATCCAAACCAAAAAAGCGAGCAGAATTGTGTTAAAGAATAACCTTCGCTTTGCCATTTCCACTGCATTTATCCAACGATAAGTTATGCCTGCAGTTTCTCACTGATCTTCCTCACAAGGCCGACAAACAGCACGACCAAGACGAAGAAACTGCATTCATTAAACCCAAATTGATTGTAGGTTTAATCCAGACAATGATGAGAAAAGGAGTCGCGTTATTTCATGGCTCACTTATTTAATTGCAAGAATTCATTTCAGTTCAATACAGCTTTTCCACTCGTTCTTATTTAACAATTGAAATTTCCTGAAATGCACTTTTGTCCAAAAATACGAGACGATATTATAATGAAATGAAATAAATAAATAAAAAGCTTATTGTTAACTCACGAAAAAACTACTTTGGTCTCATGAAAATTGCACAAACTGCTATTTTTTTGTGTAAAAATTCGTGAAATGCACTTTTGTCCAAAAATGAAAACTTTTTTTTATTTTATTGTAAGGTTTGATTTCATCAAAATTATGAAAGAAATAGGTACATATTTGTTACGTATGTTAATTATAATTGCAATTCTATAAATAGTATTATCAATCAATCCCATTATGTACATATTTGTATGCAAATTGGCTGCAAGGTTTCTCCTCGTGCACTGCTCTAATGGGATTGGGTGCCCCATGATGACACACGCCTCGCCACGCCACGCTGCACCCAACACAAAGGTCGACCCATTCAATGGACAACAATCCACCACCACCACAACAATCCAACACCAAAACAATGACGTTGCAACAAACACTATCACCACCGTTGCTTGATCTGCTAAATACTTTTTGCCAACAATTACGCACATTCCAGAGAAATAAAGATAAGAAAAAATATAAGATAAGCTATGTATTAAAGTTTAAAATTGCAAAAAATAAAATCGTGGCGTTTCTCCAACCACCAAAATTAATCGTATGTTTATAATGAGGTGCATAAATATTAACCCTGAAGCACGATATCCATCCATCGCGATGTACTAATTTTTCGCAATATCTCCTTGGCCGTGGACAATTAACACGGATGTGACGACGCTAAAAAAGAACTCATTCCACTTTCTTCTCCATGCCGGAACCAAGATCAAGTTCAACCCTCATTCCCTACTTGTTAATATCACTCGCTAATAAAAAAATGTCCAACGACCCAATAAGTTCCTCAACGTCCTTAGGGAAATTGGTTATGCGGAACGAACGGTAAAATTGCATGGAATTGGCAATATTAAACAAAATGTCAGAAAATGCTCAGAAATTATCATTTTAGAAATCTAAAATTTCAGTATTAGAATTTCTTAGGAAGGAATCTTAGAAGCGAAACGGGTACCAAATTGGACCTATTATTTACTAGGCCCAGAGAATAAATAATCGATCGATAAGGTTCATGACTTATTATTGGGTGGTGAGAATGTGAGATTATTATTGTCGTGTCAATAAAAAGACCTGCTATTTATTTACATACACTCATCCTTTCACCTCGTACAAAAACCCGGGTGTTTCTCGTTTCTCCGGGCAGAATCGGGTATGCAACTTGTGTGTGCTATGGTCCGAGGAGGAGAGGGAGCATGTTGAGTAATCTGCTGAGCAGTAGGGACACGGTGAATTAGGTCATTTTTCCCCCACCTGCTGCCTTCCACCTGAAAAGAAAATCTGACATTTACTTATTTCCAGCCCCGGATTACCTCCAATTCATATTTACAAGCTAAGCTAAACAATATTGGAACCAATTTTAGAAAAAATTGGGAAAAATTTTGCAACTGTAAAGAAATCTGGGGTTCTTTTTGCGCATAATTTGCACACCATAAATTGAATTTTCAGAAAATCATGATTACAACTTTATATTAGATAAACTGAATTGAAGAGTGCAATTGTAAATAATTAATCAGGATTGTTGAAACTATAGTTCTGCAAAATTTGCATACACCGTTTATTTAGGAAACCCTTATAAATTACATACATTTTTTCCCAAATAATAAAGTTCCTACACGCAATTAATCAATTAGGTAGGTACTCCATGCAGACAAAAAATTGACACAGTGCTCAGCTAGCTCACACATGAATCAAACCAGCCAAACTACTCAATTACGCAGCAACTAAATAACTACGGTGCATATTTACATATTATTATTGAAATAAATACGTAAATATTTACTAAATAAAGCAACAACAAAATTTATCAAATACCAATAATCAAAACCTCGCAAAAAAAAGTGTAAAATAGTGCGAAATTCCATAAGTGCACTTATCGTAGGAGATATAAATCTCATACCAGTAGTGCTCGTTCTCGTTCCCGTCCTCGTAACCATTCGTGCATGTTCTCTGAACCATTTTTTATGTGTTTTAATGGACTAGCGAATTTTGCATCATCAGAGAGTGAACAGTATCGTCGTCATCAGAGTCGCATGCATTCGTGCCATTCTTATTCGCACTAGTTAAATGTTAATGCGCGTCTCGTCGTAATGTGATCTCTCTCTCTCTCCATAAAAATAAATATCTCGCCTGTCTGTCTGCCTGGTCCTCTCCTCTACATTTAATCAGAGCTAAAGTTAAACTGTGGATATAACGCGATAGGAAATTTAAACCATTTAAATTTAACTGTACTTTGTTAGTACCAGGAAATCAGCATGTCTCAGCAGGAGCTGCACATCATGATACGCCTCTTCTCACCTACTTTGCAAAATTACTACGCTGTCACAAAATTATGCTTTTGTTTATTAAGAAGTATAACAAACTTTACATAAATTGGTGCCAAAATGTTTGCTCAAAGATTCGCGTATGAAAATAAATTATTTGCAAAAGTGCTAAAAGTTTGAACATGGATATTTGTGATCTCCAATCAGAGATGGGAAGATAAGGGGGTATTTTTCTTATCGCATCATCTTCGACAAAGTCTGCTGGGGAATCTGAAATAATCTGAATAGGTATTTTATTTAATATTTATATTTATTTTGTGCTTTTGGCGTCAAACTTGTAACATTTTGGGACATTATGATGGTTTATAAATTGTCTTAAATTAAATTAATAATTAGATTAATTTTTGAATTTGATAGAAGGAGGGATGCCGACTGAGCCGCCCCCACTGCGTCGTTCTCTTCGTGAGAGACGCTGTTCCGTGAAGCACAGCGAGTACTACGGGAGCGCCACGGAGACCGGAAGTCACTCAAAGTCTTCTCCCAGTAGTAGAAGGAGAGCTTCCTCCACCACCACGACCGGAAGTGCAGGCCCACCACGACTCACCCCACTCTATGATTCGCCACCTCTTCTGGATATCAAACCGATCGTATGTCTGTTACCACCGACGCTTTCAGACAGCCGAGGTCCAACTTCCGGTTCCTCTTCAGCGTCCTCCCAACAACCGCTGGAAATCTGCACATCGCCCAAGATGCCACTGTTACTTCCTCCCCCACCACCACGCCCACCACCCCGCGACCGGAAGTGCGAAATTGTCCACGCCACGTACAAAAAGATCCGAAGAGCTCTCCGAGAAGAGAAATCCGTTCAAGTGAAGATACGGTGGGCTCAAAATAGGGAACAATTAGGTAGAAATAAAATTAAAAACTCAGTGTAACCTCGATTAGCCCGAGTCAGGTTGTCATTAATAATTGAGGGAGGCACGACCACTACAACTTTTTTTTATTTTTAGGCAGAATTTGCTTATCTTCAAACTACCTGTGTATTTTTCCATATTCTACATAGGCACATAAGTTTTGATAACTATAAGTGTTTATAGTTATCAAAACTTATGTTATCACATACGTATTACATATGTATTAGGACCCATAAGCCTTGACTCGGGCTTAAAAATGGTTCAATTTTGAAAATGCGTATCAAATTTTTTCTTTATCAGATCGTGATCTCCAATCGCACAAAAGTTTTTCGCACCTCCACAACGCGGCGAGATTGATCCGACGATCTTCCTCCACGTCCGGTGGTCCAGAAGCTACTAAACCCAAGGTGAAAAACCACATTAAACACTTCCCCACGCCATCCACGACCGGAAGTGGTCCTCACGAGATGGTGGGTCCCGTCGTCTCGGTCACACTGTTCACCTCGCCGAAAGGGCAAATCCCCCCGTTTAAACCGCCTCCAGCAGAAACGACGCCAGGAAAGCAGCGAGGTCGTGGGCGCCCGAGAAGGAAAGTGGTTTCGACACCCGCGACGGCGTCTTCCACTCCACCGGAAATCGTTCTCTCGTTGACGCAGAAGGTGCACGCGGCGACGTTGCCGTGGGTGCAGCGGATTCCACCCGTCGTGTCGTGGACGGCGATCCCGTTCAACGTGGCGGAAGAGGATGGCAAGTTCCTTACCAATATCCCATTTCTGGGCGATGAGATTATCGACAAGGACAGCAAGTTCATCGATGACATGCTTAACTTGTATCAGGTAGAATTTTTTTTGCAAATGTTGCTTCCCCAATTTCTTTACGGTTTCGTACAATTTCAAAGTTTTCCAAATACTTTGAGCATCTGCGTTTTGTAAATGCCTATAAAAATTGGAAATAACGTAAAACTACTACTGGTTCTCCAACATCTTTAAAATATATAAAATTTCAAAATGTTCTTAAATATTTCTACATTTTGATAATTATGGTTATTTTTTAAAATATGTAAATAGTCCCGATACTTCAATTTACGGAACATGAATATGAAATTTTAGATAAATTTATGTAATCCGCATCGAAATTTTGTGGAACATTTCAAAAATAGTGAAAATTTTGCAGGGGAATTTGCACGATTTAACGAATCGATCCACGACGACGGCGAGTCTTGTGTCTCCGCCACTCCCCACGACCGTTTCGACGTCTTCTGCACCTCCATCCACGCCCTCTCGCCTCGACGACCACATCCTCCTCCTTCTGGTCCAAGAGTTGGAACAAATCCCAAAATTTGCTACAAACTTGTCGCAACCGAGTCCCCTCATTTTCACCGCCATCGCTGCTACGCTGCCCGGAAACGGAACGGGACCAGACCTCGCTGCCCGGTACAAAGCAATCCTGGCGAAAAATATTGTGGCAGCGAGAAATATGGGGTCACCGCCACCAGCACCGCGCGAACAGGACCCTGCGACCTACGCGATTCCGAACATTGATGGTCCACACGCAAAGGACTTGCCGCGAGAGGGGTCCATGCACGCTTTTCAGTACTTGTTCTGCCGGCGGTGCTACCAGTACGACTGTCCCAGAGGGCACAGTAAGTAGGCCACACCCACTCTGAAAATATGGTCGCATTGTTTTAACCTTACACTTACTTATTTTGGTGATGTCAATTTTATCCGAAATCTTGAAATCACTTTTGAGTGTTTCAAAGTCCTAAAAGTCTCAACTTCTCCCAGCAGATCCTTAAATAAAGTGTCTCAATTTCCCACGATACATATTATACGATTGTCTCAGAATGCGTGTAAGTAGTTGACACACTCGAGAAAAATAATTACATATTTTTCAGACTAAAGTTCACAAAAAAGCAAAATTCCAAAAAGTCTCAAGTTTCTCAACTTCCCCCAAGTCCTTAAACTGTCTCAATTTCCCAAGTTGCCCTGTTCGTCTCAAATTCCCACTCTGCTGGTCCCCAATCTCAGCTTTCGTCTCACCTTTTCATAGCATCTTTTCTCCCAATTTTTCAGATGGTGACGACCACATTGACCTCAACACTCGTCGACCTCAATCCTCGACCACTCCTTCTCAATTCTTCTGCCAAAACCCGACCTGTTTCCGGATAAAGTCCGAATTTCCTCCTCCCCCCGAGGTGGCGGAGGAGGTGGTTTGGACGGCTGGGGAGAAATCCCTCTTCCGCGCCATCCTCCCCTCCTTCCCCGACCCCTGCTACATTGCTCACCTCCTCCTCACCAAAACCTGCGCCCAGGTCGCCACCTTCGTCTCCATCCACACCCCCCAAACGACGACACCCCTCCCACCGCCCCCACCTCTCCAACCACCACCGCTGCCTCCTCCTCCTCCTCCCCCTCCGACATCCGCCACGATGAAGAAACGCTCCAAAAAGTCGGGTTCCTCCATCTCCAAGAAAAACCTGTCGCGTCGTTGGATCAACTCGGTTCGGATGCGGACGACGAACTCGGCGACGGGGAGTGTCCCCCTGCCCGCGAGATTTATGCCCTGCGCCCATCGCCACGATGACGCCGACACGAACGGGACGTCCTGCTGCACCGAGAAGAACCCGGCCTGTTACTGCGCCAAGAATGGGACGAGCTGTGAAAAGTTTTGCAGCTGTCCGCCAACCTGCAAGATTCGGTGAGTCGGATTTTCGCCATCACTGACTTTTTCGACACTAATTTCCATAGTTTGCAGATTTCCTGGGTGTCGCTGTACCTCGACGTGTGACTCGCGAAGGTGCGTCTGCTTCGTGGCGGCGCGGGAGTGCGACCCCGACCTCTGCTCAGGCTGTGGGGCGAATGAGCTCGACCCCAACAAGGTTTCCTGTCGAAATGTCAACATTCAAAAAAGACTTCGTGAGTAAAACATGAAAAATAAAATTTGGCACGTAAATAGAAGCAGATTAAGCAGAATTTAGTTTGCATTATTAAAAAAATTTACGATATTTAAAAAAATACGGTATAAAAAAAATTTGCAGTATTAATAGAAGATCACAATGAATAGAAATCCCTAAATGAAATCTGTAGAGTAATGCACAATAGTGAGAAAATAGGAATAATAGTTTTTCCGTAATAACTTCTTTCATAGTTAACATAGCGCAGAGATTAATGCATCAATAGAAAGATGCGAAGTTACCCGATTTCAATTCTCTATCATTATTATTCCGAACGATAATTCAAAAGACCGATTTTCCATGTAAAGTCTGATACAGTTTGTGTCGAGCAGGGAATTTTGAGTAGGCAAAGATTCTCACAATCAATCTGGGCTTCTGTACGACCAATGTGCAGAAGACAGGGCTATCTCGCCTACACTACACTCCATACACGGTGTTTACCATACCGCAGGTAACATCTCACGGTAACCGGAACCGCTTACACTAAGTGGCATATCTTCGTGTCAGATAGAGGACTGATCTCTACTGATTGCGGGTTACCATGCCCTGTACACATTATTGATACTGCTATAGCGTGAGTATTATTTCCATTAGTAATTCGTACCGAAATTCCTATAGCTTGTTCTTATCCAAATTCTTCTTCATACTTAATTAGATTATCTCTGAAACCGATTATTGTGCTGAGCTCTACGGAATCTCTCCTGTTGGCTTTAAACCATAAATCGTTTCATTTGTTTGATTGGCACTTATTCTAAATCATATCTCTTTCCTATATCACTCTCGCATGTAGCTCCAATCTAGGATCACGAACCTATTCCAATGGTAATGCATGTATTTTATACGGAGTATTTGCAATAGGTGCATAATCGAGTACACTTAGCATATACCACTATATATACATATATCCATCACGTAATAATGTATTATTCTATACGTATTTACACGCATAATCCATTACAAATCTAAATAATCAACTCGAGTTAATCGACATTAATAATTTTCCTAAAATGTCCGACCCAAACTTTGGCATAATTTTCTCCAAGAATTCAATTTTTGCACTTAAATAAAATCGCAAAATTACCGTACATTATTTTTATCATAAAAATATTTACTTTCAAATTATCATTTGATTAATTTGTAAATTTTGAACGACTTTAGATAAGCACCTTTTAATGGGGCCGAGCGATATTGCTGGTTGGGGGATTTTCATCAAGGAGGACGCCCAACGGGGAGAGTTCATCGCCGAGTATCGTGGGGAAATCATCTCCCACGACGAGTCGGAGCGGAGAGGTCACTTTTACGACAAAATTCGCCATACTTTCCTCTTCGAACTTAACGACCGTAAGAAATTTAATTATAAATGATACTATTTATGCCATTTATCACGCTTTCATAAATTTGCATAATCTTTGCATGCAGACTTTGTCGTGGACGCGATGCGTAAAGGGAACAAGGCGAGATTCATCAATTCCTCAAAGACTCCAAATTGCGAGGTCAAACGGATGCTGTGCAATGGTAGATTTAAATTGTTGCCAATTACTAATTTGCACGTGGAATTTGCCATTAAAACTATATTTTTCTCCTTAGGCGACCACCGCATCGGAATTTACGCGAAACGCTTCATCGACGCGGGCGAAGAATTGTTTTATGATTATGAAGACGGTAAGAAGACGGGGTTTATTTTGTAGATGAGAAGCTTATCCTGATGATAACCACGTATTTCTCTTCACCAGTGCTGGAGAAGCAGCAGCGAGTGGCTGCCACGGCGTCACTGCGGAGCGGTCCCGTCGCAGCGTCGTCATCAACGACGCCCTCCTCGTGTCCCCTTCCTCCTCCGCCGCCGCTGGGGGGAACTTCCAGCAAAAAGTATTAGGCAAACCTGCCCCAATTTCGTCCCCACAGACTCAAAGTCAATCATGCCACGTGCTAAATAATTAAATTAAGTATGGTGTTAACTAAAATTGTGATTGAAAGAACAACCTCTGGTCATGCGAATTCCACGTGACCACTAATTCTATAGTCAAGTGATGATTTTCTAATCCTCGTGAACCGTAATCTTGCCAAGTTTCCTAAAATCATTGATATACAAATGATGTGTTAAAAACTATTTCGTGATAAGTTTCCACATTTCAGAATTTATCAAATTGTTAATATGGGCGTTAAGGTGCTGTTAAAATACATGTTTCCCCATGAATGAATTACCAAGATCAGTCTAGTCTAATAAATAAATAAATCAATCAATCAATTATTGACAATACAATTTATTTTTAATTGATATCATCAAAGTTAAATATATTTAAATAAAATAACAACAAGTCTCTCGGTGAAGCCAAGAAGCTCAAAAGGTACATACATGGCACATATTATTTTAATGACGTACAATTCAGCACCAATTTGATTGAATTCTGATTGAATTACGCATTTATGTAGATGGATAGAAAGGTCTGTAAAATTTATGAAGTCGAACAATAAAAAAATATACTGAAGGTAAAGTGGAGGTAAGGCTTTAGGTAAAGAAATACAAAAGTATAAAAAATAAGTAAGGCTGCGTATTGAAGGGTTTGCAGCCTATTCATCCTCGTCATCCTCGCCATCGTCGGAACCAAGGATGACGTCTCCCAACTGAGCCATCTCGATGAAGCTCGTGGTAAACATCATAGTACTCGGAAGGCCCCCACTCTCAGCATCCTTGAACGAGTCCTCCTCTCCTTCCATGTCATCGTCCCCAGCGGATTCAGCACCAGGCCCTTCGGCACTTGTCCCCTCCTGCTCAGGAGATCCAGATTCCTCTCGCCCCACAAATCCTCCTTCGGCAGACCCATCACTTGTCCCCTCGCGCCCAGGAGATCCTGTAACGACCTCCTCCTCAGTCCTTGCAGGAGGAGCTGCACTGGTGCTGGATGGTCCTGCCGTCTGCGTCTCTGGGAGAGGAACAGTCACAGACCAGGGTTTGGATGGGTCGCTGGCCACCTTCGACGCAAACATTCTCGACATCTAGAGAAATCAGGGTTGAAATGCATACCAGAGTTCAAAATGGACTGTAAAATAGCAAATAAATAATGTCTTGCTTCTAACCTCGATCATGATTTGTCTGTTAATGTCGTCATTGTCGTCGTCACCGCCGTCGCCACCATCGTCCTCGCCTTCCTCGTCCGATGTGAGGACACTGTAAGTGTAAGGACAATTTGTTAGAAAAAACTACTAAATTTGATACTCAAAAAATTAAAAAAAACAAATTCCGAACCTGCTGTCCCTTTTCCTATCATTTTCAATCTTTTCGAGGAACAAGTTGTCATAGTCGTCGTCGTCGTCGTCATCATTTACGCCTTCGTCGTCCGCTGCTGGCGTATCCGCAGTTTCGTCGTCGGCTTGTTCATTGTTTGTTGCCTTCACTGCAGCGTCAGTTTGATCTCCATTTTCCTCGTCGTCCCGATTTTCTTGTTGGTTTTCATTTTGAAGAGATTTCAACGACTCGAGAGATGGACTCGATGGGATGAGAGCTGTTGTTTGAACTTCCTCCGCCCTTTCTTCCATGACGAGAAGCGGCGAGGGAGATTTTTGTCGATGTGTAGTCTTCGATTTCGGACCGGGTTTTCGTCTCGGAGTGGAAATGGAACTACCCGAATTGAGATCTTGTTCACTCTTGGGACGTGGTTTGACGAGGGGTTTGGGTTGAGCGGTCTCCGCGGTCAGATTCTCGTCCTCCTCGTTGAAAACAACTTCTCGCTCTTCTTCTCTGGGTGGCTCTTCGTTGGTCATTATTTGTGAGTCAACAATTTCAATCGATTGCCCAGAATCAGGATCCTTCTCTTCTTCGTTGTCATCGATAACATCCGAGTTTGATTTCTGTTCGGAGGGTTTCTTCTTCAAGTCCTTCTTCTTTCTGCCCACTTTCCGTTTCGGAGCAGCCACATTCCGCTTCTTAACGACTGAGCGGGATTCGTGAGGAACGGTCATCTCCTCCTCTTCCTCCTCCTCATCTTCATCCCCGTCTTGCTTGCTCGGAGTGAGGGCGGATTTTTTCTTCTTCGCCAACTTCTTCGTGACCGTTTCCGCCTTCTTCTTTTTCCCCTTCCTTTTGGGGACGTTCTCCTGCTCCGAAGTGGAGGGCGATACTGTCGGCACGGGGACCTCAACGGGACGTTTCGTCGCCTTTCTCACTGGTGGTTTCGCCTTGGTCTTCTTGGCAGTCGATTTGACTCCAGTCGTGGCTTCGGTTCCAGGCAAGGTCTGAATTATATACACAACAATCAATTAGTTTGATGCATCTCTTAAAATAAAATACACACCAATTTTTGTGATAGCTTTGCATACTCACAAAACCAATATTTTTACTCACCTTAAAACCCACTTGATGCTCTTCCAAGTAATGTTTAGCCATCTCTTTGCCCGCCACGTCGTCAAGATTCGCCTCTCTGATCTCGGGGAGGTTCACTTTCACGAAGAAATCTTTCTCCAAGCAGAGTTTGCACTTGAACGCGTGCTCCTTCTTGCTCACCTTGGCAGCCAGGATGATGTGATAAGTGAAGAAATGCGAGGTCAAGAGAGGATCAAGGTTGGCGAAGGATTCGCCACATTTGTCGACAGGGCAGGTGAATAACGTCCTCATAGGAGGAGGAGGAGAAGGAGCTGCCGGGGTGTCGAGCGTGCCATAGTGAGGCGTGTACGGACCAGAGTAACGCTTCTTGTCCATCACGGGAAGCGTCTTCCTTTTCTTCTTCTTGGCTGGAGGAGAAGATGGGACGATGGTGTCGGCGGCAGAGTTGTCATTTTCTGTGGGAGACTCGTTTTCAATTTCTGACTCTGCTGTAGGGCTTTTTGTCTGCAAGTTTTCCAGAAATGTGCGTTTCTTTCCTCGGGGCCTTCCCCTTCCCCTGGGGGGACGATTGAGTGGCGCGGGCGGTGAAGGGGGCACGAGTGGTGGGGACTTCCTCGAGCTCAACCTCTTTTGAATGACTGGTGTTGAAACAGTGGTAATTTTAGATTGTGGTGGAATTGCCCTTTTCGGAGTGACAAATCTACAAGAAGATTACAATTAATTGAAAGTCAACATCTAATTAAAAAAACAAATTCTCTCGAGAATTCACTGATTAATTAATCATAAAACGGTAAAAACTAGCTTAATTATTGATGATTTGCTTACCCTCCCATTATTGCTGACATTTCTTCTTCGCTGGAGTCCTCCTCTTCTTCTGCATGGTCACTACGTGCGACCGCCTCGACCCTCCGCGACCCTTGATTCGCAGCACCCCCTCGTCTTCCTCGACCTCGCTTTCCTCCCCTCCCTCGCTGATTAGGAATTGTTCTTTTGAGTGGAGGTGGTGAAGGAGTTGTCAGTCTTTCAATTGCAGGAGATTCGGTACGGGTTGGGCGATGAGACGCTTTTCCTCGACCTCGCGACAGTCTTCCAAATCCTGGACGAATCGGTCGGTCTACAGTGGCAGCCACCTTGCTCGTCTCCGCTTTTGGACTTTTATCCTCATCTTTTTTAGCATCAGTCTTTGATTTCTTCCTTCGGACGATTCTAAAACCAAAATGTGACAAAACAAAGCGTTAGATTTTGAAGAAACATTGTTGTTTTTTAATACAATTTGCAAATAAAAGCAACATTTTTTAAATTCTACTTCTATGCATTGTTTTTTTTTACATTTTTCGACATTTGGGTCTAATCCGACTTCTTCGCTTACCTTTTAACCTCGAAAATATTATCTAAATCTGAATCAGATGACCCGGTAGATACGCTACTTCCGTCGTCACGATCATTAAAATTGTCTTTGTCGAAATCATAGGCTAGGTTTTGAGCAGGAAGTGCAGATTCAACTTTATTGTCGAGGAGGAGATATCGAATTCGTCCGAGGCTCTCCTTCTTCCGGGTGCTTTGCATTTCCTCCTCCTCCTCCTCCTCCTCGTCCGGGAGAAGAGGGTCACTTCTCATCGCCCGCAATACGACTTCTTCCGCCTCCACGCGGCTATTCTGATTGGTCAACAGGTTGGCTGCTGCGTCATCGTCAGAATCGTCGTCTTCACCGCTATGTGCGGGGGGTGGGTCGAGGGGGACCAGGTGGACGGAGGGATTCGGTAATTTCCCTGTGACGTAATCTGTGAGAAATTGTTTCAATATTAGCAATCTGTCTGTAAAAACTTTTGCAATAAAAATAGGATTCTTATTTTCCTTACTGCGAATTACTTGTCGTCTATACTCCTTCCAAACGTAGTCCGCGTGACTGGGATTTGGCGAAGCTGTCCCAACTAAGACTCGTCTCCCCAACGCCTCGACGCCCCCGACAATTTGCACATTTAAGTTGGCCAGTTGGGTGAGAAAGTGTTCCTCTCTGCGAAGGGATTCTATTACTCCGTTGATCGTGGGTCGACACGTGGTGCAGACCCGCATCCCACTCCCCGGCTCAAAAACGAGTGGGGGAGCAACCAAGTTGAGACTGTAAAGAGAGATGAACAAATTTTGATAAGATGATAAACAAAATCACCATTAACTATGAATGAGATATTAAACCAACCTGCAAATTCTGCTTAGCGCTCCGGCAACTTTCTCCGACCCCCAGACGTCCTCCATGTCGACGTCGACACGTGTGGCGGAACAAAAGACACAACTCCCCGACATCATGATAATTATGACGATAAGGGTGCGATCGCGTCGGTAGTTAACCACACCACAGCAAGCAAACAAGTAGTTGATCTCTACCGGCTGACATAAATAAAACACGAGGAGGAGCACAATCTACCGATTATCTCTTAGCTTATCACTTCCGCCGCCTTCTATAATTAGCTAACTAGTTCCAAGTTTTCTTAAAGTTAATAGTATAACTGAATAATAATTAATTTAATTTGCAATTTAAACAAGTCCACTTGTTTGCGAGGGATGCGTGCGTGGACGGCAAGTGGCAACTCGCGCTCTCAAGTCCGATCTCTCTTTGTTGTTTGAATGAAATGTGCTTTCGACTCGAGAGGTTTATATTTTTATCACAAGTTTTTTTACTCAATTTGCAACAACTGTATTACAACATCCAGATTCAAATTTAGTCAAATACACACCATAAGTTCATAATAATATGGATAAAAAAATAGCGACGCATTTGCACCTTATCTCCTCGAGTTATGTATGATATCCAAAACTCAGTATCCTCTGACTTTTTGACAAAAAGTCTCACACAAACATTTCCAAGAATTTCATTAAATTTTGTTCTTGATAAATTAAATAGCGACAAAATAAAAATGATCCATGTTTATGAATGAATCTTGCTTGCTGAGCAGCCTTTCAGATCATTAATATTGTCTCGCAAGTTTAATTAATAATTAAATTTCACACTCTTTTTTATAACTAATTTTGAGACTTTTATGAATGATCACAACATTTATATAGTTTTCTTGATTGTACAGAAACAGTAAGAAATCAAAGGTAACATTTAAAAATAACCGATTAATAACATCGATATAACGGATAAATTTAATTAATTAACCTACTTACAAATTAACATTTAGTATTACAACTTATACCGATTGACAAGAATTTTAGTTTTTGACCATGATTAATTCTCTCTTTGTATGTAAATACTGCACAGGCCGGGGATGAAGAAATTACTGAAAAATATTAACAAATTGGAACCTTCTCTCTTAATTTTCCACTCGTGGAAAAACTCATGCATGCAACAAATTCATTAACTAATAGGAATAGTTATAATTAATTAATTAATAATAATAATTAACGAATAGGGTTAACCCTAAACATAAACTTCTGGAATGGTTGGAACCGAGTGACTAATCAATTTTTGGTTTCTCATTGTTCCCTCATTTGTTCAGTAGTTTGGCTGAGATTTCATGAATAAGATTTAATTAAAAATAGAAATTTCGGGACCCATTATGACACGCATAGCACCACCTTTTCCTTATTTGCCGGATTAGTCGCCGTCGCCGTCGCCGCCGCCGCCACCGCTGAGGACTGATTAGTACAATAAGTGATTATCTGCACGTCGTCGTCGTCATCGTCGTCAACTTCTGGTTTGATTTTGACGGCATTTGTCACTTCAGAAATAAGATTGGACGGGATGACGGCATCGAGACGAACGGGAGGTTTCAAATGGATGATCCCAATGTCGTAAGGGATCGGAGAAATTTCATCGGAAACGTCCTGCAGCAAGCTGTACAGCTTTTCGGGCTCGGGAGTGGGGGGAATTAAATCAATCCAGTCTTGCACATCGTCCATTAGTTGCTCTGTAGAGGAAGCTTTGATTAAAATGTGGACACTTTTTTAGGGAAAACTTGTCACAAAATTTCTACCACCTACCGAAATTGTGTTCATGTTCTTCTACCCTGGGCCCCCGGCCAATGAGGTCATCTTCACCTTCAACCCTCTCGTCATCTTCAGATTCTGAACTCTCACACTCCTGCACCTCGTCTTCCTCATCCTCCTCCTCCTCGCGCGGTTTGACATCATCCACGGCAATGAGGTCATCATCATCATCGTCGTCGTCCGTCATGGCGAGGACAGATCTCTTGTGACTCGTGCCCGTGGATGAAGAGGTGAAAGAAATCGACACCCTCACTCGGTTTTTGAGTGGACTGGTAATTTTGGGACAGGTTCGCCGCCTTTCGATCAACTCTAGAGCGATGACGGAAGAAGAATCCTTCGACGATGCCAACTTCTCAACTTTGCTGCAATTTTGACAAGATAAGAAGCTTGTTAAGTGAATGATAAGCTATTTGTATTTATATAATTAATAAATGAATACTTTAAATCGGTTTGGGCATAGCTGGTAGCATCCTCTCGACTCGCAGAGTCCTTGTCGTCGACAATTAATTTTGGAGTCTCGTTCGTCCCGGAAGTCTTAAAAATAAAAATAAAAAAACAAATGAAGTTTTCCAACTAAAATTTTTCGAATTCTGTTTTAAAATCGTTTTATGCTAGATAGCTCATAATAGATGAATTAAAGAAAATACAAATTCAGTTTCAAGTATAAAAAATAGGCACCTTGACTGGAGAATTTGGTTCCTCTTTCGGCTCCTTCTTGACTTTATCTTTCTTCTTGACAGGGATGAAGAGGGATTCGTGGGAAGAATTTCCAGAACTGGCAGCTCCCTCCGCGTCGTCGTCGTCGTTGCACTGGTTCGTGTAGCTCAACTTTTTCTCTCCAGCCGTCCTTTGTGGAGGGACGTATTCCGACAACCAATTCCAGGGCTTGACCTTCATATCAACCGTCACGGCTGGCGATGAAGAATCGTTCTTCTTCTTGGGAGACGGGTTTTTTGAGGATGCTCCTCCAGGAATGGACTTTCTGGAGGAGGGCTGCTTCTCCTTCTTCATCTGGTCTTCTATTTTTACTCTATCAATCAAGACCACCGGTTGCACGGATAACTCTGGAATCCAATTCAATATTAGTTTTGAAACATTTTCAAAATTTGTACAAAATATTTCACACAAAAATTGTCATCTATATTTTTCAAGCTGTTTTATCTCTCTCAAAAACAATTAAATATTTCTTACGCGTTAATTTATCCTTCTTGGCATCACTAGCAGCTCCTTTCGGCTCGACCACCACGGCTTGCTTCCTTTTGACGGCCTTCCGTTTGGTGGGCAGCGGTGCGATGGCAGCCTTCGATTTAATCTTCCAGAGTGGCACCTTCCTTTTGGGCGATGAGGGCGGACTGGCGGCTTTTGCGCCCTTCTTGGACTTCACAGCCATCTCGGTCAGTGGTTTTCTCGCCCTTTTCGTCTTACTCATCCTCGGACGCCTCTTCTTTGGCAACGATGTCACTTTCCCAGTAGTAGCAGACAACTCTCGACGAGGTCTCTTGCTCATCGGCGGCGTTAAATTTTGACTCTGCGACACGTTTCGACATCGTTTCAACCGTCCTGTACGACCACATCCGGGGGGAAGGAGGTGGTCGTAATTTTCCAATTTTATATGCACACAGAAATTCGGGAGGAGACCCAAGTTGTATCCTGGAAGAGAAGACGGGGCAGATTTTAGTAAAACTTGCATGAACATTTTTACAAGGAAAACTAGACAATTAGTTATCTGATGGCCTTCTTACTCCGAATGACGGGTTCCCTAAACTTCTCCCAGACTACATTCCTCTTCGCCGCGGTGCGACTGCTGCTCGAAACTGGCAGTGACTTTGTCGTCAAACTGTCACTCGCCCCATCACGGACAAAACTACCCAAAAGCTCGACTTTCGACTGGAGTAGGATTTGATATTTTTGAATCTGTCCCAACATTGAAAAATAATAGTCAACATCTCCTCAGCAGTTGATACTTAATTAACCTTAACTGCATACTCACCTGTTGGATTAGTCCGCTCACCTCCCGCACAACTTGGGCACACCGCTCGCAAAAGGTGAGTCCTCCAACGTTCTCGACATAGCGGAAGTCTGTGGCGGAGATGTGAAGGTCTCCGAATATTTTCATCGTCGCGTGCTTGATGCTGGGCGAGTGTGAGGAGGACGCCGAGGTGCACAGGGCATCGCAGTAAAGACATAATTCTTGTGTGGAGCAGGGCGTAGGTGAGGTCATCGCTCCACGGCTTGAAGTCATCCTCAGAACGGCGAAAGAAAGACTGTAAAATAATTTAGAAAAAGCTTGCTTAGATAAGGAAGGTGCTGCTAAAAGTGAAAAACAAGACCTCTGGGCATATCTTTTAAATATATTTATTTAAAAGCCTCATCATTGTTACAGGAATTGATGGCTTTGCATCACCGCAAGGCTGAATATTTACGCTAAGATTTTAACAATAAATATGACAAACAATTCAAACAAAACCAATCAATATACCTAATCAACTTTCCTACCTGGTCTTGGTCTTTTCCAACTTTGGTGACTGGTGATGTAGCTCAGCAGGTTATCCACCCTCACTCAGGACGACATAATTTAGACAAGAATAGGGTCCTGCTTCCGCTTAGAAATAGATAATCACGCCAAGTAAATTAAATTAATGATGACTGAAAAAATTCAGATGGCAATTTTCACTTTTCACTTTTGAGTTGACGACAATAGAGGGTCCTTGGGTTGTAGTCAAGCGGGTGGCGAGAGGCAGGTTGAGATGCACTCACTTGCCACCCACTCACTTTCTCCATAGAAAAGATAACCCATCTACCTTATCATCACCCTCTCTGATGTGAATCTGATCCACCTTAAAGATTAAATCAAACATGATAAGCTCCTTCCACACATAAAAAGCCTGCCCAACTTTTCATCATTTTGATGCGACTACAAAATAAATATGCATTCGATTCGGAAAGAGAAAGCAGTTTCTTCTCGATTATCTTTCTAAGGATAACCACACAATTTAACAATGCGACATAAATCTCGACGATATTCAATTTTATTTCATGTCACTCCTTTTACATATACTTACGATTAGTACAAATTATCAAATAGTTGGCTCTGCATTATCACGACGAATTATTATTGCTTATCTTCGTCTCTGCCGTGCCATTATTTATCACACCTGCTCCTGCCTCCTTGTACTGCAGGATGAATGTCCGTGCGGCGGGTGTGGTGGCGTCAGAGACGACGATCTCGCCACGATCCGCGATTCCGAGATCTACGCGAAAAATAAATAAATAAATATATGAGGAAATTTTGAATAATTTATTTTTTAAAATTTTGGCATAAGCTCACCTTTCATTTTCTGCTCGAGGTTGGAGTGTGTGGCGGACATCATGGCCATGTAGAGCGTTTTCGACCGTCCCCCCACGCTCGCAATCACGGCGGGGTGCTTCATTTGGAAGGTGGGACTCTCCTGGAGAAACTCGATCACTTCGCCCAGCCGAACTTCTCCGGCAAACTCCAACACCTTCGGAACGTTAGAACACGCCATGCAGTCCTCCTACAGAAAGACATGGTCCATTCAAGTAAGTAAAATAAAAAAATATATGAAGTCTTGGACAATACGATTCCAAAATATCCTTAAACTCAGATTATTAACCCTGTCAAAATATGTTTTTGGGTCAAATATTGACTCACCCTCCTCTCAGCCTTGTAAGTATACGTATAAATGCCATCAGAGTCGCTAAAGTTCATAAAATTGTCCATCGGGGTGCAACAGCTGGACGCAATTTTGAGGACTTCGGTTGCACAAGCTGCCGCGATGACAGCATTTGTCGACGCCACGGCGGGGATGATGTGTTTTACGACGCCTTGTGTGAGGCGATAAGTTACTCCTTGAATTCCTACAAGAAGAGCGAAATGGCGTGAATTAAAGTTAAATAAAGAATTAATGAACTCTGTCCGTCCGTACCGTAGAGACTTGCTCGTTCGACGGCCTTTTCATAGATCCAGTTGATGTGGGCAGGGTCGTCGCCGTCGATCGGAACCTCAAATGGTTTCTCCTCGCCCCACTGGATCAGTCGCACATATTCGATGCAGTGCTCTGGAAGGCGTGGCTTGCTCGCCAACGTGCACAATGGGTAGTTTATCTGCGCACGTAGATAAGCAAGCTACATACGATAACCCAAGAAAATATAAAATATCGTAATGGTAATAGTAACCTGTGGGGGAAAAAGGTCGAGATTGCACTCAATGCAAGGCGTCTGCCCAGGGCAGATGACTCTTGCGTTGCCTTTGAAGCCTTCCGTGCCGCCGTCGACGATGGGAATGACTGAATCTGGCTCCACCGCCCCGTCGTCGTCGTATCGGAGGAGGGAGAAGACCATGTTGTTCAGCCAACGCCGCGCTACGATCGAGTCCAGCCCACAAACGATGATATGGAAGGAAGAATAAAAATCCTCGTCGTGATCCTCGATCCGAGAGTAGTACCTGCAAAATATTGCAATCACAAATAACATTCTGCAAAATTAAAATTAAAAATTCCTTCAAAATAATAAATCTCACATAAAAATCTGGGTCAAAACTAGTAAAAAATGCACCCCAATTTGTAAAAGTATGCTTTATCAAAACCTCTTATTCAAAATTTAATCGCTAAAACTAACTTCACCAAAAACTTTGTATTCCAAAAATTGAATCAGAACTCTACCCAGCTCATTTTTGCTTCACTTACGCCGTGACGTTTGCGGACTGGACCCTCTTGTTGATAAAAGCTGCCGCCACTTCGGCCTTTGACTGACCCACGTCTCCAATTCGAAAGAGAAACTGCCTGTTCAAATTGGACAAGTCGATCGTGTCCATGTCGATGATGTGCATATTTTGAAATCCCATCAGAGCTAAATTCTTCACCAACTCGCATCCCAACCCACCAGCTCCCACCACCAAGACTTTGCAACTGTGGATGAACTGTCGAGTAACAAAATTTCAATGGAATTTAAATTTTGACACATGAGAAAAATAACGAACAATTAATTAAATTACCTTCAAAATGTCCGGCGTAGCTTCATATCCTTCTGGAGAAAAGGGGCCCACACGTTCCAAAACACGTCGCAGGTGACCAAACCGGTCGGGTGGATTCGCTCCGACACTGCCACCATGGAGGGAGGAGGATGAATTGTTATCGTCAGAATCCATGGTCGCCATTCCCTCCTCTACTTTATCCGCCTGCCCAGAAAAGGCCTAGATTTACTGACAGAACAATAATAAAGTTGGCTTTGTTTAACAACTATTTAATTAAAGCAATTAGCAAAAAGCCGGTCAATCCATCGATTCAACGTACCAATATCAAACAATCTGTCCCACCACCTTTTAAATAATTTGCCGAGCCAGGAACTTTTACTTCCGGTTGAACTACTCGCAAGTGACAGCACTTTCCTTTTGGCGACTGACTCTGGTTCACACTTTCCCTGAGAGTGAATTGTTCTTGTTGTGTTCTCTGTTCTTTTGATTCCCCAGTCCCGCTGTCGGATCTCCGAAGCCGAGAATGTCCAATCCGCCTCTCAAAATAAAGTCAACTTCACACTCGCTCATTCTCTTCTGCTGCTCACTTTTCTGCTTGCCTTCTTCTCATCATTCGCACTCTCGTCGTGACGTCAAACTGACTTTCGGAAATATATATCCTCCCTCCCCAAGTTTCCGAACCCTTGCAATAAAATAAATAAATACAGAAGTTTTCGTCAATCCTGAATCTGACAAAATCGCTCAACCCTACTTTTTTGTTTGTTTACTTTTCTCGCCTGCTGGACTGGGCATCAATTGGATTACAGAGTAATTTCTAGAGGACGACGACGACGGTGCTGCTGCTGGCGTAGCATCGAACATGTCGAAAAATATTAAAAATCTAACCCTGCCCATCGCCGCGACCACGACGACGAACGGATCATTGGAATTGCCCTCGCCCAAACATCCCAACGAGTATGTGACCTCTTCTCTTTAGTATATTTTAGAATAAGTACTCATCATCTTCATTGTCTTGTGCTTATAGCGTCTCATCCACGGAGCATCTTGAACTGCAACTCTCCAAATTGGAACTAGACGAACAACAACGGCAGCGAATGAAGAGTTTCTTGTCGCAAAAGCAGAAAGTCGGTGAACTTTGTGAAGACGATTTTGAAAAGATTGGCGAGTTGGGGGCCGGAAATGGGGGCGTGGTCACCAAAGTGCTCCACAAACTTAGCGGTCTCATCATGGCGAGGAAGGTATTTGAACAGAAATTGGTACGATTATTTATGGCGACCTCTTAGCTGCTCTCCTGGTTCGTTCGTTCGTTCGTTCGTGATGTCAAACTTAATTGTCCAGCATGAGTTAACAATCTCGGATCACAATTACAGACCATTTCCGGTGTAGACATTGTTTTACTTTTTTGCATGCATATTCATGGTGAATTTCATGTGAATTTTAAATTTTTACCATTTCTTTAATTTCATTAATTCAATTAAATAAACACTTCAAATTATTTTATTTGTTTACTAGAAAGTTTGTAATTATTAATTTTGACGTCACTTATTCCTTCTGATAACCGAGTGACAATATTCAATGTGTCAATTTTTATGGATGACCCAAATCTACAAGTGTTTTGCATGTTGAGCAATTTTGATTCGTGGAAATTTTTTGTGTGTTGTCAAATATTGTCCAAAAAACGAGCTAAAAAACTCTCTTTCTTGAAATGCAGATGATCCACTTGGAGGTCAAGCCTGCCGTGAAGAAGCAGATAATTCGAGAGTTGAAGATTCTCCACGAGTGCAACTCCCCCTTCATTGTGGGATTTTACGGGGCGTTCTACTCGGACGGCGAGATTTCCATTTGCATGGAGTACATGGACGGAGGATCGCTCGACCTCGTTATTAAACGCTACGGCCGCATTCCGGAAAGTATTCTCGGCCGCATCACTTCCGCCGTGCTCAGAGGACTCGCGTACCTCCGGGATAAGCACAACATCATTCACAGGTCGGCTATTATTTCTCTTTCCATTTGATAACTCTTGACCTAATCCTTACTTCTTGATTGCCATCTTCAGGGATGTCAAACCTTCAAATATTTTGGTAAACTCGCGGGGCGAGATCAAAATCTGTGACTTTGGCGTTTCCGGTCAACTTATCGATTCCATGGCTAACTCCTTCGTGGGTACGAGGTCCTACATGTCGGTATGTGTAAATTGTAGAACGCTAAAAGTTGATAAGTATGAAATCCATCAAGTTTTTTTTTCTTTCTCGCAGCCGGAACGACTTCAAGGGACGCACTACTCGATAGCGAGTGATATTTGGAGTCTGGGGTTGAGTCTGGTCGAAATGGCGGTCGGTGGCTACCCCATCCCACCAGCTGGTCATTGCAGCGAAACCAGGAATGGTTAGTTGCCTCTTTTACAGTCAATTTTTATTGTATCATTTGATTTATAATGGTAATTTCCCCTCTCTTTTGTATAGCAGCTCCTGGCGCGATGGCGATTTTCGAGCTGTTGAACTACATCGTGAACGAACCACCCCCAAAACTGCCACCGAATCAGTTTTCCCCCGAGTTTGAGGACGTTGTTAACCGTTGCCTCCAAAAGGACCCCAACGCCCGAGCGGATCTCAACACGTTGATGAACGACCGCTGGGTGAGGCGCTGGGAGGACGCAAACATTGACATGTCGGGCTGGGTGCAGAAAACGATGGAAAACCAGACTCCCTCTGACAGTAAGTCTAATCCAAACAAATGTTCTCTTGAATAATATGTGGCTAAAAGTAACGTATTTTATGTTCTATTGGATTTCCGGAGCTATCACAGCCACAAAAAGTTGAGAATTTACATGGAAAATACATGTTTCTGAAGAAGCTAACTTTTTATCGCTGTCAAACTGCATTTTTTCGCGATTTTTAATGGAAAAATGTAATTTTACGGCGATAAAAAGTTAATTTCTTCAGAAAACAGGTACATATTTTCTTGTGGCTGTTGTATTCTCCAGCCATATAGATTTTCGTTCTTTTTGTGGGTGCAACAGCCCCGAAAATCCAAGAGAGCTGTATTTTGACCCTGTACTTGTTGCTACCTCTGATATTTCTCATGCTAAAAAAACCTCTTTATATTTACAGAGAGCAGCGGATGAAGCGTCTCTGACGGAATCTACCTCACGGGATATTCAGACTTATTAATTACTTAGCTGTAGCCAAGACCCCATGCTTCCAGATAAAAATAACCGATATATTTAAACTTTATGCACAAAACCTCGAAAGCCTGCTTATCTGCACTAGAAAAATTATCGTAGATTTTAGTCTAGTCTTCTGTTTCCTCTCGTGTCTAGTGACTAACTAAAAAAATAATACTAAATATTTAATTGTGACAACATTTATATCAACTTGAACTAAATTGCTAACGAAAGGTAGGAGAAAATTAATTATCAGAATTCTTTATCGTCTCGTACTTACACACGTAGTCTGAAAACCACATCTAACGAAGCACACACAATGAAGATTTCCTTTAATAATGAGGACGACGCCGGAATAGTGACGAATTGTAGTGACTTATTATTATTAGTGTCTGTACTGTAGTGGTCTAAATTTTACTGGAATTCAGTGTGTAACAGTCAGTAATTAAATTAATTGAATAATTAACTTTAACTAATCCAAGCCTTTATCTTACCCAATTTCTTACCAGACTTGAAACAAATTCTGTCTCGTTTTTCTTTAAAAAAGTTTCATGGTCCCATTTTTGAAAGTTGTTAAATTATAAATTTCCCAATTTGAATTTCTTCCCCCTTTCAAAAATCGAACTGCCTTCTCTTCAACCAACTAAAAATGTCTGTCTATCTGTCTGTACTGTACCAAATCAAACCAAACCAAACCAAACCACCGACTTATTAATTAATGACATAATTATCCATGCGAATTAATTAATTAATACGATTAAATAATTTCTATCTATGCAAAGGAACTACAAATTTTAATTTCTATATCTATGTATGCAGAAACAAAAACTTTGCAATTTTTCTATCTCTTGTATCGACGATCTATTTATTATGTATGTATACCTCGACTTATGAGTAAGTTATTTAAATACTACTACGACTACATATGTATACACCAAATCTTTAAATATTAATTACATCATCAGTAGTTAATTAATTAGTTATACATAAAGTGAACGAGTTATGTACTGTGCGGGTGGAGCTTAAACCTACGGCCTCCTGAAGTACCTTGTGCTGAGACTAGGGTTTCTCGTGAGTTTAGCTCCATTCGCACAGCACATAACTAACTCACTTCAAGTTTAGTTAAGTGATTATTATGATCATGTAAAAATGTGATATTATACACCACAACTTATACATGGAATAATTACATACGGTGTTTAGTGAAGTAATTAAAATGCAGACTATATACGATGCAACCACTTGTATTATCATAAATGTGACTGCGAATTAGGGTAGAAATTTATGACCTGCTTTGTCGAGTAGCTTCACTTTTCCAACTTTCTCTCACACACTCACAAATTATTTAAAATATTAGGACAAGAAAGGTATCCTAGATTAAATAGGTGTGTGATTAGATGAATATTTGGTGTGTGTACTGTGTGGTAAGTTGGACTGACTGCGATATGTCTTTAAAAATATCATTGTGAAACTGAAATCAAAATAAAGTAAAATCATCAAGTATTTATAAATAAATTTGAGTTTTAAGTGTTTTAAATTATTTGCATTTCACAATTTTTTAAGACTTCATGACAAAAATATTTATTGCTACAAATATTTCGCAAAGTGAGACCTCCAAATCCATACAAATTATGTATGCTAATTGATTGTTCGTCATTTTCATGGATTTTTTTCACTTTTGAAATCTCTGATGCCGATTTTAATAATTTCATTTAATAATTCATATTTTTCTGTGTTAATTAAAACAAATATTTCTTTTTGGCATCAAGCTTATGCATTTTTTTATTTTTGGCTAAACCGAAAGTGAAAGTATTTGACATACTTTCACTTCTTTTTACTCGCCTATAACACAATATTATCCAACGTGTCACAGAAATATTCAAAAAATACACAAAATAAAATATTTTGATTTCAAAATCTTCTGTAATCGCCTGAATAAGCCGGCAGACTATGGGTGAAAGCTAGTAATTAAAAAAATAAAATAAATAATTATCCTCATGAAGTGCTTAGAAAAATGGTTAGTGATAGAAAATAAAACATTAAAAGTCCATCTACACCCCAAAACTGGTCTAATTCATTTTTAGAACCTCAACAAGTGAGACTTGGTTTCATCTCAAAGTTGAAAAAAACTCATTTCTTCACCATCACTTGATTTGATTAAAGAAGCATCTTTTCCATGAAACTGCATACCCTAACTAAATGCACATTCATAATACGAAGCAATTCCTCCCCTTATTATGCACATTCTTCACCTTGCTGCTTGTCCACCCTGCAAGAAAACCTCTCCCCACATGGCATGGCACGAGCTCCTTAAAGAAACAAGTCTTTTACATATTAAGTAAAGTAACTCTCTGGACAAGAAAAAATCTCCCCCAAAATCTTAACCAAACCGGGTACTACAGTTGGATATAGGTTTATTATGCATATCCTGGCTGACTTTTTGTGGTCCATGTGCTGTGGAATTCCACCACCTCGACAATGCTGATCTGGCCAACAGGCCAACCCTCCTCCTTTCTCCTCTGCAGCTGTCTCTCTCCTAGAAAAAGAAGGCTCAGTCCGCGCCAACCAGTCGGCCAAACAACACTCCTTCCCACACCTCAGAATTTTTTGTTCCTCATTAAAAATATTTCAGAAACTTAAAAAAACATTGGGGTGAAAGTTGCCGAAAGAATTTAAGCTTTAGAAAAGCAAGCTTAATGAATACAAAACCTAAAAATTGTAAAATACGAAATCAATTTTGTCACAAAATAAAAACGGCGTTGAAATTGCACAATTTAATAAATAAATAAATTTTACGTAAATATTTGATAAAATGACGTTTTAACTGGGCAAAAATATTTTTAGTTAATGGGACAAATTGACAAGGAATTTTTTCGTGGTGGAACGTGTAAAACGTGTAAAATTTGATGCTCACTTTTGTTTGCATAATTTAGTTGGGTGAATGAAATTTGAGAGTGCGTGTTTACAGTGGGACTAAAGATAAGCTCCCCTCTACGTGTTTGTAAACAAATGGGAAGTAGTGAATAATGCAAAATCTGTCGGTGCACCTACAAGGAGAGACGACTCGGGCTTGTTTGACTTTCACGACAATGTTGACATTTCGTCGAAATTCGGGAGGATAATTTCACCCATTCTGGACTCAACGAGTTACATGGAAGAGTAAAAGTAAGCTGTTTGTTGTGGATTTATGGTAAATTTGCATGGTAAATCCATTCGGATTGGAAAATAATAATTATCAACTCTAACAAAGGCAACCTCTCAAAATTTGTATAGGAAATATGCAAAATATAAAATTATGCAATTTTAGAATACATATTTCATCCATTTTTGTATGAAAATTTGTCAAAATTTAACTTTATTTGCAATATTGAACTTTTCTAATTCTGTTAATGAGTCAACATCACCTAAAAGTGGGTTATGGATAATTCAATTTTGCTAACTTTTTACAACCGGTGTCGCACTCATTACAAGTAAAATTAAAAAAAGCTTCTTAATTTGTAAAATACTATTTTGACAATTTTTTTTGCTTCGTTTCTACTTTTTTCGGAAATTTTTCAGTTTTCGCTAGTTGTGTCAATTTAATTGTTTAAAATCGTTCTATAAAGCTCCATTCAGAACGAAATCGAAATCTTCTCTAATAATTTAATTATGTATGCTTTCATATTTTAATCCTTAAAATCGGGTTTACTGATACACTTTATATAAACAAAATGTAAAACTTGTGGGTATATGTATATTTACAAAAAAACGCAAAAGTATTTACTAAATATGTATGAAAAAACATGAAAAGTAATAGATAATTTTCACAAAATTTTGCATGTTTGAATTTAATGCTCTGGTGTTTTTGTGATTCAATTTCTTTGAGCAAAAAAATTTCGTGCCACATCGTTGAAATTATTTACAAAATGTAAGTACTTAAAAAAATATCTAAACGATTTACGCATTTTTCAAACAATAGTTGAGGTATTTATAAATATGCGAAAACCTAGAAATATGTAGCAATAGAAATTTTGAAATTTTATCAGTGATCTATTTTATCACACACCCACAAAGTTTGACCATCAGTCGTCATCATATGAAAAAGTTGAAAACTCATGCGTACTTATGTATCTGCTTGTGACCAGAGCTGGGTGATTATTGGTTTTTGAGGGTGGATTATGGATTATACAAAATAATGTGGATTGTGATTAAATTATTTTGTTATCAGAATGTTATCAGAATGTTATCAGAATCCTGTAATTATCAGAATGTATGGATTAATCCATACATTCTGGAAATTTCAGGATTATGGATTATGGATTAATAATCCTGATTAATTTGGTGATTAATGATTTTTACAGTATATCTAGCGCAACAAATTTCAACTATGTGGGTTCACATAAAATATTTAAAAAGCAGTTTCAATTGATATATATAGTGCAAGGCAGCGAGAACATGTTGACTCTTCAAATGGTAGCTGACAGAAGAAAGTTGTGAGAACTTGAGACTTCAAGCTACACAGAGTGGGATGAAATAGAACTATGGGAATTGAACTGAGTAATCCAGATTGAGAATTAATCATGAATACGTAATCATGATTAATCATGATTGGGATTAATCTGGATTAATAATCAGGATTAGTAATCATGATTGGGATTAATCGGGATTAGTAATCCATAATCGTGATTATGGATTAAAGACACCTGACGGGATTATTCCAGGATTAATTCTCATTCCTAAAAAATCGGGATTATGGATTAGGATTAATTCTAACAAACTACCGTTGCCGGATTATAGATTAAGGATTAATAATCCTTAATCCGGGATTAAAATCCATAATCCTTAATCTGGATTATCCCAGCTCTGCGTGTGACACATGGCATGCATATCACTAAATATTTAATTAGAATTATTGCTAAATTATTTGTCTCGTTTAATAACAGACAAAGTGAAATATGCAATCAAAAGGCCATGATCATTTTTCGAAGGAAAAACGCCACCCTTTTCTCTGTCCAACCCGAGTCTGTATCTCAATTTGGCAAATCATGACTCTTTGATCCGTCATTCATTATTCCATTCCAACAAAAGTCTTCTTTCTCTTTCTACAAAAGTAGGCTTCCACACCCACGCCAAAAATTTCGCCAGCCTTGCAAACCTTACGCCTTATTTACAACTCTGAGTAACTTCTCGACCCAAACAGATAACTCTGCCATTCACCCGGAATTGCGAAATTATTGACGTGAAGAGTGGGGAAAAGGATTCCGAGTAATTTCGTCATCCGTCACCATTTGACTTTTCGTTATTTATTCTGGTCTTCGCTCCTCTTGCGTACGAATTCCCTCCGGCCCGTCATCTCCTTCTTAATGCCTTCTTACCTCCTTCTTAGCTCCGGGAAATGGCTGGCTAAATGCTTCCTCGGACCCCATCGGCTCTCGAGGATGAGGAGATCTGCCCAGGCGGAAGGAAGCCACAGAAGGCAAAACATGTGCCTACATTCTCAACTCGACATTTTATGCATTTAATCACGAGTTTTAATTTCACCAAGAGGTTCATGATTCAAAAACTTGACTTCATTTTCGCACCTGAAAAAAATGTATTCATAAAAACCTGAAATGCAGAAAAAATTCCGAACTTTCTTTCAGTGGTCCACCCCTTTTCGACAATTAATGATAGAAAAGAGAAGGCATTTTATGTGTAAACTCTTGAATTTACATTTCACCAGGAATTTAATAAGAGCTTGACCTTATGTATTTTCATGTAAAAAATTCATGCATAAAAACCTGTAAAGTATACAAAGTTTTGGTTCGATTTGTGGTGAAAACGTTGAAACGCGTTTAATTGTCGAGAATTTTTTAGGGTCCGTTTTTATACGGGTCGTGGGAATTTTAGGGGATTTTTCCCCCCCGTTTTCCGAAAAGCAAACAGAATTTGAACCCATGACCAAACGGTTTTTGATTATCTTTCAGCCCAACCCTGTTTGAGAATGAATGCGGCGAAAGAGAAAGCTGAGGCGGTGCAATGGGACGCCTGGTTGGTGGAAGCCGTGCGAAAAGTGAGGTCGCAAAAGCAGCGCCCAGGTCTGGACCGCATCTACAACGCGGTGCGGCTGCTGGCGGAGAAGAAGGAGTTGGCGGAACAGAAGGCCGCGTCGCCAATCTCGCCCCTCTTCCCCACGCAGTTCGAGCACATCAAGCTCGCCCTGGTTCAGCGACACCTGGACCGCGTGGTGAGGGAAGGGATCCTCCTCAAGGTCATCTCCAAGGGTCAGACCACTTATAAGACGCCGGACAAGTGCGAAAGGGTCCTCAACTTGGCCGCCGCCACGGATGACGAGGTAGGCACACGTGAATGATTGTCGTTTATAAAATCACGGAGAAAGTTCAGATTTTGTTTTCTCTTTTTTCTTCTCAATTTTATAAAATTTCCAGAATTTCTTTCGTAATAGAATAAATTAGTAGATTATAAGACTGTTAACATATTTGGGGAAACACATGATTAATGACATTTATTATATTTTACATGGGAAAATATCACGACAAAATTCATCTTAGGGGTTCTCATATTGTAAAATTTTCCCAGTCTCGAACCGAATTTTGTAGAACTTGCTTCATAATCGATTACATTAGTAGAGAAACATTTTTTGAATATTTGGGAACATACAAATTCAAAATATTTTATGCATTGACATACATATTTACTTCCTAAAAAATTTCTATGAATAGCAAAAAAAAACGCGATAAATTCCATTTTTTTATTAGACTTCGTCACCACAAAATTTCAGTGAAATAAAAATCATGTATAAAAATTTAACATTTTAAACTCCCCTTTTCCCCAGATATCAAAATGTTTCATAAAAGTGCTCCGCGAGCTGAGCGAACCCGATCCGACGACACCGTCGCCCCCACCGCCCACGTCGTCCTCCTCGAAATCGTCCCTCCTCAGCAAACCGCCCCCCGTGGGGTTCACTCTGGACCAGATTCTGGAGTACCTCCTCCACTCGCACCTCCTCGCCCCGCTCCCCGGCGAAGGCGACGACACGAGCCCACCTCCTCCGCTCGCCTCTCCCCCTGACTTTCTCCGCGAAAAGATCACCCCCCTCCTGCACACGGACCTCATCCTGCGGAAAGGCAAGGTCCAACTCGTGGACGGGATTTACTACAAAATCCGCGACAAGACTGCTTGTGCCTCGACAGAAATCGTCCCAAAAGTGGAAGCCCCCGGTGAAAGTGGGCCCGAAGTGGGTTTGACGTGTGCCACTTCCGGTGGGAGTGGGACACCGGAGAAAGTGTCGAATCGTAGCAATAGTTCGTCCTCCTCGTCGTCGTCCACCACGGGCGGGAGTGCAGTGATTAAGTTGATGGTGCCCAAAGTGAAAGTGACCACAGGTGGTGGAATTGGTGGTGGTTGTGGTTGTGAGAGTGGGGGGAGGAGGGTGTCCCCACCCATGCGGAGTCCCGGGAGCGGGGTCAGCATTAGCGATATTGCCTCCGCTATTGTTCAAGAGGTGAGTAAGAAAAAAATGCAGAATTTTATGTGGCTTATTTTCACAAAAGTTTCAACTTTTTTGTGATTGTTAACTTTTGGTTGGCTTTCTTTACCTTGTGTATTTTCCTGGAACTTTTATATTTCTGAGAAACGAAGCCTGGTATGAAAGTGTATTCTGTTTTCACAATGGCAGAATTTATCCTACAATCAGCTTTTTACTTTCACTCGAATGAATAACTTATTTTAATAAAAATACCAAGTTTCTATTTCACTTTGATTCCATTGTGAAAGAAATCTTATGCCTGAATTCACTAATAATCCCTGAGAACTTATTCTTCTGCTGTGAATATGAGGCAATAAAGGGGAATTCTTTATGATTGCTTTCTCCGAAATAAATTTCTACTTTTTTCACTGAATTGTTTTCCTTTCATATTTTTCAGTAAGATTACAAATTGACTCTTGCGTGCCAAAGTTTTAAAATTTTAAATTCGTTGAAAGGAGAAACAAAAAATAAGAATAATTTATAAAAAAACAATGCCAGAGTAAAGTTCCGATACTTAATTATTGAATAATTTTATACCTTAAAACGTATTTAAATAGATGAAATAGAAATTGAAATGAAGTTTTTGCTAATTTTGGAGTGAAATGAAATCCCAAGATGTAAACAATTTTGCCTATAAAATGTGCGAGAAATGGGAGGATGGTTATTTTGCAGATCTAAAATTTGCATAAATGACGAAATGGCACAAAATTCATGCACTTAAAGATTAGTAGTAATTATTTGGTCAAATTTTGTCCCGAAATTATTCCCCCCTTAAAGATTACTTTCTCCGAATATGATTCTCACCATTGCTTCGCATCATTTCGTACAATATTCTTCATTTCGTGTCACATCATTTCTCCACCATTTAGCAGCCTCTCCATTACACAAGTCTGCAATTTAATCCATCCTACGCCGTAGCAAAGCAAGAAACAAACCGAGTACAAAACTTTTTTGATACTTATTAAAAACTTGGGGTTTAATTTCTCCCAAAAACTTTAAACTTTTCTCTCGCCAAGTTTAATCATTCCATTTCTTGTTCGTTAAGCTATCAAAGTTTCCAGAAAGCTAATTTACTCCGTCAATCTCAAGATTAATTGGCTCGTTTACCCAGAAAGTCAAGAAAGAGAGAAAGTCACGTACTTTCTCTCGGGAAAAATTTTATTACCACATTTTTTGAAAAGATCACACGAAAAAAACTCAAATTTCAAATTCTTTTCAAATTTAATGAAACGAAATTTGACGATTTTCTTTCCATACAAATTTGTACATATTTCTACAAAGGAATCCTTTTGAGATCGATATGCAATTAATTATCATTAAGCGAGAAGACTTTTACTTCACAGAGACAAATTTCTCCCCCGGACTCTTCCACACGAAATAAGAAGCAAGTCGAGAAAAATGGGAGAATCATGAAGAAGCGAAAGTGTGGAGAAAGTGGGGGCAAAGGTGGAGACGAAGAGGACGAGGAAGAAGAAGAAGACAACGAGGAAGAGGAGGAAGACAGTTCGTCATCGGTTAATAATAAGGTAATAAATTCTCTAAATGAGCATTAATTTATTTGAACGTAACGATTAAGAAAACCGTCCGCTTTTTAATTTAAGGGTACTTCTCAAACAAACCTATCTAAATCAAAAAAGTTTAAACTATTTTTTATAATTTTACGATTTGACGTGAAAATGACACAAATTTATTTATTCGTATTGCAACGTAAATACTTTAAGCTGCATAAAATTGTGAAAGTTTAATCAGTTTGCTACTAATTATTCCTGACTTTGGCCAATTAAATAAACGTTAAAGGAATCCTTTCGAATAATTATTTTTAAAAAAACTTTCTTTATCATCGATCTTATCGAAAATGTGAACGATAAGATGATCCTATTAGGAGAAATTTCACGAATTTTTCTGAACGCGTCATCATTATTCTTGATAATGCATAGTTTGATATTGCGACTAATTCCTTCTCCTGATGAGTCCACACGACTCATTAAACGAACTTTCTCCTCGTCATTAGTTGAACACGAATAATTTTTGCAATTAATTAAGCACCGAGGTGAACTTGGGAGGAGAAAGTGTCGTCCTCTCCACTTTTCTCTTCTCCACGTGTAAGTTCACCTTTTAAGCAACTCTTAATCACCTACCTTAAACTTCTCTCTGCTCTTAATTGACACAAGTAAAACAAAAGTGAAAGTTGGACAAGTTTCTTTTCCTAGAAATACTTACACAAATTAACGATACATGCAAACCTATACATGTAAAATTATTTAGGGATTAATACGTAGATAAGGTTAGAGCAAGGTTTCATGAAAATCTGACAAAAATGGGTAAATTACATTTCTAATGAGTTAGTCAAATTTTTCTTACATGTTTAGACAAGGATTGGATAAAACGCTTTCTCCGAATCGTGGGTAAGTTTTGTGCGTGTTGGTGTTCTCGATTACATGCCTGGCGTCTAAAAGTGCATGAAATCCCACCACATCCAATTAACGGACTGAAGGGTTTCTTAAGAGTTTTTTTTGAGAGGGAGAAAAGTTAAGGTTAACAAAAACTTTCCCCATTTTTAAACTTTCGCTCAATTTTAAAGCAAATGTAAAAAGAAAGTTTAGCCATTTCTGTTTCTATTTTATTTTACCACTAGCGTATAGCCCGGCCAAGGCCGGGTTCTAGAGTTCCAGTGGGGGGTGTGCCCAAAGCGAAAAATCCGTCATACTATATTTTAAATAATTCCCAGTGGAGACTTTGTCATACTACATACATACATCAGACTGAGGGTTTGCCCAAGTCATACTGCATTTTAATTAACCTGGTCACAGTAAAATTTGATTCCCCCCTGTGGGAGTAGTTGAATAGCTAATTACTTAAATTCCCGTCGCGTGGGATTAACTGCATAGCTAACTATTTAAATTCCCACGCTTCACGCTCCCGTTAAGTTCCATAAACCCCGTTAACTTCTACAATTAACGCCAAGCTATTGACGGATTCGGATTCAGCGTCAAAAATACATTCGAATTGATATGCGACATCACGAATAAGCCAGATTTGGACACCACGGTCACGGCGAGGTCACGGGGGCCTCGCAGGTCAAAACCATTGACGGCGTTGGATTCAGCGTCAAAAATACATTCGATTTGACATGCCACTCGCTGTGGGTAGAGTTTCTCAAACTAAAATAATTAATTAATAGTGTTTATCACGATCACTTATCATGATAACCACTATTGATGAGTGATGTATGTATGTGGGGTGTACATGTTCATGTATTCATTTATTCATGCAGTGCAGTGCATGCATGCAGTGGTTGCTCCGCTTCCTTCTTTGTCTACTGTATGGGGCAATTTGCATTGCGAAGACGGACCCAGGGACCCAGGGATCATACTAACACTTTATTAGAGTAGATCTTCTTATTTTACATGCATATGTAAAGTACATAAGTTGGATAAGTGTGCACACATAATAAATTAAGAGTACAAATTGCGCCTGGAATTATTTCGGAAATTTGAAACTTCTCACTCCAACTGGGTTGAATTTATATTGCAATTCTTAAGTTTTAAAATATGGACGGAAGTTTTACATTTTCCAAAAGGAAAGTGTAAAATTTCGTAAAATTAAAATTGAAATTTTCGTAAAATTTGGAAGTATTAATATCAACCTGATCTAAATTTTGTAATTTGAGAAATTTAATATTTGAAAGTTAACAAATATTTCGATTAAGCTTTGAGTATTGTAAAGTAGAATTATAATCATTCGTTCTTCCAAAATAAAATATTAATTCTCATAAAAATCAATTATTTTCCTTAATTTATTCAGATAGCGGTATTAATTTACTTCCAAACCAGCACCACAATTAAAGCCAAATGTCAAAAATATGTTTACTTTCTCTGAAACTCTGCGCTTCCTGATTCTATCAGACAATGAAACTTTTCCATTGTTATTGTTGTTTTGCATGGCCATGAAATGCATCCGATTTTGGAAATAGATAAAGTTGGTTGGAGTCATGTTTTGTTTCCGTATATTCAAATGGAGTTGGATGGGTGATTGAGTGAAAGTAGTTGGATGGGCTGGAAGAAGAAGTTGGAAAGTGATTTCCATCTAGGGTCCAAAATGCGTACAAAGTTTATTTATTTCATTTCCTCTTTATGAGCCAGCCCAGCCCAAAATTTCGGAAAGTTTGAAAGAGCCAACTTAGGATCAAACTTTCTCCTGGGAGACGAGGAATCTCAGGGTTCCACCACGTGATCACGATTCATGCGATGCGATTTGGTCATTTTTGGTTCAAATTTTTGGTTGGAAACTCAACAGTTTCAAAATCTATTCAATTTAATTTAATTTCGAACTATGGAACAGGGAAAAATTGATCAAATAGAACAATTAGCATATCGAGATAAAATTTAATTGTGTAACCTTTTAGGGAATTTCATCCCCCAATTGTTAAGAGAGTTGTAAAGTGGTTAGAGTTGAATTCAATTTTAAGCTATAAAATAGGGCAAAATTAGTGAAATTAAGTATGTGGTACCCTGCTTGAATTTGCAGCACAGAATTGCAATGAACCAGTGGAACCCTGTCGTGGTGAAAGTGAGTGAAGTGGGGACCAGCCGGGAATCTCGACCCCCCAACCGCTTCTCTACTGCTTTCAGTCCAGACTTGCTTGCTACCAAATGGCGAAAGTTGTGGAGAAAGTTTCCTCGACAGGGAAACTTTCCGACGCGACGAGATGAGGATAAGGGCCATGTAACTATTCATTTCGTTGGAGAAAGCTGTTTTGCGACGGCGTTGCATGAGACTTGGACAAGGGCGAGGTCGACAATATGGTCAGGGCAGGTCAGGCGTCTTTCATCCATGCAATATTTTACATATCACAAGTTTGTAAACAAATTGCAAAGTTTCTGAAAAATGGTGAATCTGTCGTATAAAATTATTTCTGAATTTTGTGGAACCATTTCCTTCACAAATTTGGCAGCTTGAATTAGTAATTTTTATAATTAGGCTTATGCAGATTAATTCTAGGGCGTAAAAACACTCTATAAATCATTATTTGAGTGAAAGTAAAAAAAATCTCTAGAGTAGAAAGCGACATAAAATCATGGATATTTTTATGCTAGATTTGGTGGCACTTTAATTTCGTAATTTAATTTTTTACTAATGTGATTTTATAAGTTAGTAGCATTTTTTGATTATTTAGAATAATATAAAATAATATTGAACTCGTCGATGTCACTCTTGGGAAGGTATTAACTTTATCTACCGGTAACTTTGTAAGCAGGCAAATTTTCTACAAATTTTACGATTGACGTCGAACTTTTCTTTAAAGTTATTTCTCTCAAACTTTCTCAAACAACCTTGATTTAAATAGTTCACTTTAAAATTAAAGTATCAAAAATATCCTCATTAAGTGTCTACAGTGTATTGTATCCGAGTACTGAGCATTTAAATAATTTTTGTCAGATTTAGTTACCAGTTTTGATCTTAATTAATTAATGGACTTGCAATAACAGAAATTTTATGAAGTTTTCAGAAACTAGTAACCAAAATTCGACCAAATACTGAATTCTAATGAGATACTAAAAGCATAAAATATTTCAAAATATCAACTTTTATCAAAATATAATTCAGAGATAAACCCATTTCAAAGATGAACTTTATTAGCTTTTTATGTAAATAATCAGTTTTCCTATTTGATTAAGAAGACGCGTCACGTGTTCATGTCTCACATCATGATCTCTCTTTTTCTCTGGCTGGACGTGAACGGGTTCATTGTTCTTCACAAGTCGTCATCATCATCATGTAACATCATCTTGGATCCTCACTTTGCATAAATCACACACACTCCCCACTTCATATTACCAATGTCACATTGTTACCACTTTGGTAACAAGGCTCACACTTACGTATTTAGATACATACCATAAGTGAGTAAATACTTATTATTTCCATATTTGCCCATCCAATTTGCACGCTCTTTCCCCAACTCTTTACCTTATTCCTCATCTTCACTCACATCCCCCTCGCAAAAAATGAGTCCATATTAAAAACAAGCCTGTAAATACAAGAATGAGATATGTAAGTATGCAGAAAATGAGGAGGATTGGGTTAGAAGAAGACAACAAGCAGGCAGGATTACATTAGTCAGATCTGTCGAGTCAAAACCCTCCCCGAGGCGATTTCATTTCATAAACGTGTGCATGTAGATGCCAATAGTTGGCGAAGAAATGGCAAACAAATTCATTTTTTGCACTGCACTGAATTTGTATCCATCCATCCCTCGTCCTCGGTCAATTACATGGTGGATTTTTTGTCACTTATTATTAAACCGTGTGTGCAAGGAGTTCACTTCTTTTTCGCGAGGTAGTTGACTGCCTGGAAGGCTAACTCGTAAATAAATATGTATACGTATGTATTTTCGCCATGTGCAAATCCGTGATGGTAGGTTTTTGGCATGACAAATTGAAAAATTGGGGAACACGGTGGAGCATAGGTTACACACAGGAGGATCCAATTTGGAAGCAAATTTCGCAACTTTACGTATCCCTCC